AAAACAAACCTCTGAGCATTTATATTGCAACATGGCCTATTGTCATTAAAGTAGATGATAATACAGTGCTAAATTTCATTTGTTTTGATGTTATGTAATATTTATAACAATTGGCTGTTGATGCAAATGATTGTGATTAAGAAATGCCGCGAAGCGGCGCCGATTTTTTTTAAGCACGTTTTTGTAAACTTATCACCACCCTAATAATTTTGCCACCACCCATCAATTTTTATTCAAACTTTTTCACCACTCACTTTTGAAAAATTAGGGAGAACACTGTATATTAACTACAAGTTTCCCTTATTACAATATAATCATTAAATATATACATTTGGCTTCAACCCAGTCATTCGTTTGCCGAAAACAACAGCCTTTACCAACTATTATGTGATGTAAGATACAACTTTCGTTAGATTCTAGATATTAAGTGCTAGATGTCTAATACTCGTTTTACTCATGAGTGGCGAGCGGCCAATCATGCGATGCCATAGATAGGTAACTGCTGTGGACACTGTACTCCCTGTACTATGCTGATGCATGCACATCAGTTGCTGTTCGGCACTTTAGTAATGACATTGCATTTCCGGAAATATCCAGAGATGATCATTACGACTTCAATTTTCAAGAAATTAGATATCTAAAGAGAGAAGTTGCTATACTGCCCGTAAGTGTATTGAGGCTATGTCGTTTAGATTGATTTTATAAATGTACGTCATGCGAATGAGGTGAGGACCATGACCAACGGGAAAACTCCTAGAAACTAGATATCATAACACAAAAAATACAAACAGTTACAATGTAGCAAACCTCAACATCCCAAATATGGTATTTAGAGCAAAGAGTTTCTAATGACCCGCTTTCCACCAAATATGCAAGGCATACAACAATAAAATAAGAACTTGTATCATCGTTTAAAGTCGTTTAACTTATTCTAAAATACTTGTTCTTCATTTGTTTTGTCTTTTACATGGTTTTGTGTTTTATATCAACAGGGTGACGATATCGCCGTTGAGTGCACACGTGACACGACAAGTCGACAGAACATCACATGGGTACAGGGTTTCCCATCGACATCTTTGACAATAATGTTCCTGAATTTGGTACAAATGAGAATTGGCTCCAACTGGTTCCCACCTCGATATTCTACCATATATGGAGTCATGTCGTGATAACAAAAATCAAAATCAAAAAGCCGTCATTTTTTCATTTTATACTTTGAATCGCAAGTTTTGGTCTTAAACAAGCCGTTTAAAATCACACAAGAGGTGATCAAGATATTAGTTCAAATATTTTTGATCGCTGATTGTTATGCTGCATCAGTCAGTTATACTGTCAGACAATGAGATTTTCAGTGTTGTCGTCGATATCGGTCAAGCACACAGGCTACTAAAATATTCCATTCTCCTTGCAGTTCATTCTTACCGTGCGAACTTTGCCGGCGTAGAAATCAGCAATGAACAAATTGCTTGAAGATTAAAAATATCGATTTGGTACCCTGGGGGCCAATCCTCCTTGTTTTGATCCCTAGATTTTTACAAATAAATTATTTTTCTCGATAAACATTTAAACTAAACCAGTTTATGTTTTGCCTATAAGCAAACGAATGATATAACAATTTCTTAAAAAGATGGCAAGACAATCAGCTAGCTTGCAAATCTTTAACGAACTACATCTAATCTTTAGATTGAAAACCTGCTTGACTATTTTCAGGGGCATATACGAAGTAGGGATGAGATGTGCTTGGCCTACATTGCATACTACCCAACACTAAAGATGTCCCAGTGTAAGTCGGTTCCAAGAACAAAGAATTTATTAGCAATAGCAGGTATAAGTATCAAGAATTCTGTTCAACACTATGGATTAATGGAAAATACACAATTTGTTACAGAATCATATATCATATAGATACCAAATAACATCGACCAATTATGCGGAACATGTATAATTTTTCAATCAATAGGACATGTTGTTAGCTGGAATGTTCCAAAATGGGCTCTGATAATGCCCAAAAATATATACTTCTGGACGTATTACATCATAAGTCAATATATCTAAAAGTTAAGCATGTAGATCTTATATAATATAGACTATATGCAAATAGAAGTAAACATGTTTTGCGTTATTAGTATTAGATATTCAATATTCAAAAGTGATATCATATTTGAAATCTACATGTAAAATTACATTTAGAAATTCGATTTAAAAATAATTATTTATCAATTGTTTATCAAAAATTAATTTTCTTATGTGACTTCTAGGTCTAGATTCCCCAAGGACCCAATGTTATAAAATCACAAAAAGTGAAATGTTTTTCTAATATTGGACAGATTATATTTTATTTCACTGGACATATTTTAATTCGTATAACTATCAGTTTAAAATTGAATTGATCCACTAAAACTTTTTTTTTATTAATCATTTTTATTTCAAGTTCATATATTATAACATTTAATTTCATACAATGAAAATTCAACAAGGTTAATCAATTTAACATTTGTGTTGAACTTCGAAGTAAATATACCATACACTTATATGCAATACAAATTTGTTACAATTATTCGTAACTATTCATATATAAACAAAAAGGAAAAAGTACAATTAAAGCTGATATTGGAATGCTTTACAAAAAAAGGTGTGCAGTGGTGTAAATTATGGGATGGTGTAATATACATGTTAGTCAATCTTGGTTGCTTGTAGGAATTTTAAAGTTGCTTTCAGCAGAAGTGTATTATCTTCATTACTAAGTTCACTGTTACCATGCAAGAGCATATTTACTTTGCTAACAGAGTTAGCATCTAAGAATTTTTCTAAACAACCAATAATATGGAGATCTATAAGTAGTTGGATTCTATCATTTACAAATTGGGGGCATTTGAGGAAAAAATGAGTAGGGGTTTCATTTTCATTGGCAATTTAAAAAAAATCACCAAATTTGTCATAAATTTCTAAACAATTGTAATTACAGAACAAAATTAATATTCAAACATCGACACTTTGACAGGTTTTGATCACGTGTGATGTGCTATCCAATGAATGATCAAGTTTAAGATAACGTTAGATACTGTATCTGCTATGTTATCTGACCCGATTAGCCACCTGTTGGTGAAACTAGTAACTACCTACTGTTATCTACTAGGTTATTGACATTTCCCACAAACATAACAAGATACGCAAATCCTTGTTTAGTATATGTCCGTCCAATTGTTGTACTCGAGTCATTATTGCGGTATTCAATGATTAGAATTATAACGTCCTTTGATGACTCTTCTTATTTACAGCTAATAAATTCTGGATATGTCGTATCATAAATATTTAATTTTCCAAACTCTTATTTGCAGCTGCATGTTATGATATTATATTGTTGTTAAGTATTAATGTTGGAGCAATGCAAAATCTATATATGATAACGAATGGAAACAATGATCAGGTATCTGCTTATTTAAAAGCTGTGGCTTTTCTTGCGAGTAGAAATGAACTCGAATTACGTCATTTAATATTCAAAATTCAGTCAAAGTGATGCTATATTTAGTACATCTTGAAATGTGGATTCTGAAATTGTTGATTAGCTCTTGAAAAATTAGTCTTGCTCAAAGACTGTATCCACCCCCCCCCCCCCCGTCACCTTCACTATCTTTACCTGGCAATGTACATGTAATCCTATAGAGAAGGATAAAGATAAAGGGGGGGAGTACAGGGTCTTTTAAGCAAGACTATGAAAAATTGATTTTTTGTTTACTTCGGGGAGATTCCCCATAGACCATATGTCATAAAAACACAAAAAGTGACATATCTTCTCTTGTATTGGACAGATATGTATGAGATACATAAGGATATGAAAATTGATCCACTGAAACTGATCAATATTCAAGTTAAAGGGGACTTTCTACTATACCTGCCATGCTATCTGACCCGAATGAGCCAACTGGTGGTGAAACTGGGAACTACCTACCCGCATCTAAGTTATTGACCATTTATAATCGGCATGCATTTTACATCCTGACGTTTCCATATATGGAATATAAAGATATTAATCATTTTTATTACAATAGATCAATTAGGAATTCCATACCACAAGAAATATATAAAAACTGTCGGAACAGAACACAATATCAGAAGAGTTGATTCATTATATACCAAATGGACAAATGTATTGTTTATTTTTAAATCAATACATTAAAACTAGTAGTGGCAAGATGCATACTATTTTTATCTTGGCTTGGCTCATTTGGTGCTACGGAAAGGGTGAGTATGATTATTTTTGAACCGATAATTCATTACAATATATATATTCAATCAATTCAAGTTAGCGGCTTAATTATTAGAGCTTTTATTGAATGGTAAAACTCAATTGGAAATATAATCCTAGCGAAGGTGGTCAAGGTTAATGCATTACATATTCGTGTTCAGTCTCTTAAAGTATAGCTTGAATTAGAAAAATTCTCCTTTTAATAATCATATTCACGAATATGATTAATGAGTTTTTAAATCAAGATATAACATTTAATTTAAAAAATTCAATTAATGGTCAGTGTTAGGTATTGTTCAAGCTTTAGAGAAAAATGTAAATACGTTACTGTACTTCTACTTAATTTGGCGCTACTTATTTTGGCGGATTAGCCGTTTTGAACATTTGGCGGATACTAATTTGGAGGACTATGTACTATTGGGGCTAATTTACAAGGTACTAAAATTACACGGGAATTTGGCGGCTACTCAATTTGGTGGACTTTAACAATTTGACGGATCCGCCAAATTAAAACGGCCACCAAATGAAGTAAAAGTACTTTGTGTATATTATAGTTTGGATTTTGGTATTTATTTTCCTCATGACTGTGATTTTAGATGTTTATGCTTTCGTCTTTATCTTTTCTTTTGAGAACTTACATTGATTTATCCATACATCAGAATTTATAGAAGCAAGGCCGAACGCAACAAAAAATTACAAATTTGACGTTTCACTTGGGTCTAATGATGAATACCATGTTTATTGGAACTTCACGATGGACAAAATTGTGTTCGAAATCCACGCAAAGACAACCGGATATGTGGGGTTTGGGTTTTCACCGAATGGGGACATGCGTTACTCCGACATGGTCATAGGATGGGTGCGTGATAATGGAATGGTTGAACTAAAGGTAATAATTAAGTGTATTTGTTTAAATATATCAAGTAACAGACTGATATATTTTATGATTTATATCGACTGATACGTAACTAAATTTGTTAGAATTTCCCATTTCTATTTCGGATTTATTTCATTATTAGCATTAATTCTACTATTATTTTTTGCATTTCTTGTCTGCGTCCAGAACGTAAGTACGACTAAATCTCCCATTGCTTTTTTGATATTCCATGATAGGAGCAATGATATATAGATATCTATTTCAGGATAGACACACTCTGGGAGAAAGGGTTACCCCAATAATTGATCACAAACAGGATTATCACTTGGATGTTGGTCTTGAAGAGGATGGGTGGACTATTCTTAGGTTTTGGCGTTTGTTGGACACATGTGACCATCTATATGACATGAAAATTGATGTATGTATAGTTATTCACAATAGACTGCTTGATGACCATTAGCCTTTCACGGATCAAATTAATCCTGATTTCAAAAATACTTTCCAAATGCATTCCATACACCTCGTTTCAATCAGTTTGCAATTTTTTACAGGATGGTACGATGAGGTTAATCTGGTCCATGCATCACGAGGATCCTACATCCGAGACTGACCTACCGTACCATGGTGGCAACAGGGGGTCTAGGTCCGTTCAACTGTTGTCGCATAATACTAAAACTGTGAATTTACCAGCTGATGCTTTCCATTTAGATATTACTTTAACAAATGTATGTATTTTGATTTATTGACAGTAAATATGTATTAAGTAAATCAATGCAAAAATTATTGATCACCCCTTGTATTAACGCACACGGGGAAGTATTTTCTGAAGTTGCAGGATGCAACTTAATAAAGCCTTGATTAAATTCAAAAGTTTTAGGTCTGAACTAAAGTATAGGAGAACATTCGATAGACCCCCACTATACCTCATTCCATTCTGTACTAAGTTAGCCAACCTTGCATTATGGACCTTATCCCTTACCTTAATAATAAAACGTTAACCGTTCACATGTGCATATACAAATTATTGCATTGCGTTTTCAGGTCTCCGTCCCAGGAGATAGCACGACGTATTGGTGCCAAGCCTTCAAGCTGCCAAATTACAAGAAAAAGCATCACGTTATTGGGGTAAATGTGTCAATCTTAAAAATGTAATTAGTGATATCAAACAGTTTACGAATAAAATTGAACTGAGAAACAACACAATGCTTGCATTTTAAAAACGTACAATAATGATTTCCAGTTTTAAACATGAAACGTTTCTTTTAGTTGGAAGCGAATATTCAGCCTGGAAACGAGGACGTGGTTCATCACGTGATTCTCTTCGCGTGCTTTCACGAGATCAATGATTCAGCAGATATTGATGGATATGCAAACGCTTGCTACAAACCAAATTTGCCTGAAAATCTAAGTCTTTGTCAAAGCTTGGTCTTTGGTTGGGCGAATGGTGCTAAGGTATGTTGAAATATCTAAGCACAAGTGCTAAATAAAAAGGGAAAGGGCCAAAAATGAAAATCTGAAAATCAAGAAAACTCCAAGTTTAAACGTGTCGTAAGTAGTATACCCTACATATCTCAAAACCATGATCTAATGTGAAAGGAAATAATGTCTTACAATGAAAATAAAAGAAACCCAAAAATAATGTCTTTTATTCACATTTGAATCGTGAATTTTTGTCTTACATGTATTTCCTATCGAAAAATTCACAAACTCACAAGAAATGATCGATATATTGGTTCGAATCTTTTGAACCATTTATTTTGAATTTATAGTCGGTTATAATTTCAGAAAATAACGACATTTCGAGGTTTTCATTGTTGGAAAATATCGTGTTTCGATCCTGGGAGCCTATGGGCTGAGGGCAATACATACTGCAAAAATCATTGAAATATGAACAGGTATTGCCCTCCATAGAATGAAATATTTGGTTAATATTCAATTTAAATGACGCCACTGCCGGGGAAATACATATTCTAAGCAGGGATACATGGAATACCTCTACATATTTTTAGCCACATGGTATCTGATTGACCAATGAGAACAAGTATCACAGCATGAGGTATATCCAGAATTATGGCAATATTATATTATTATTTTTTATACAGAAAACCAAATCACTAACGGTAACCGCTAGTGTCCTTACTCAGGACTATATCCATAGAAAGTATAGACATAGGGATTTCACCAAAATGTAAAGTATAGAAAGTATCGAAATTATCGAAAGTATAGACATAGGGAATTCACCAAAATCAAAAGTATAGGCAGTATAGACAGTATAGAAAGTATAGACATGTATAGACTTTAGAGAGTCCAATCGTCTAAGACTGAAAAAAGTATCATTTAAAAAAAGCAGTTCGAAAGTATAGAAAGTATAGAATATGCCATAATTTTGGATATACATGCACAGCATGGAAATGATAAAATGGTGGATTCCGTTTTTATTCAACATATGTAAACATATTCTATTTATGAACGTTTTATGCATCTATTTATCATCAGGACACTTGTTTTTCTGGTGGGTTCATTAGTTGGGCAAATTCTATTTAATATTGATAAATAATCCCATTTTTTCTATTACAGCCATTTTATTACCCATCCAATGCTGCAATGCCAATAGGACCTGGATCTGGTTTCAAATACGTCTGGATGGAAGTACACTGGAATAACCCATGGCACAAGACTGGTGTGTGTAATCTCGAAAACAGTTTGTGCTTTGGGGTTCAATGCAAACTCATTCTTATTGGAACGTTAATCTACTGTCTTAGGTTAGTCACAGTCCTGATTTCTTATTTTAATATCTGATTTCATACGAAACCGATAAGTCAGACAAATGGGGTGTTTTTCGTGCAAGTACTTCCCCTAAGCTTTAATTAGGAAGTTTGGGAACAAATATGGTCCCGATATGTGCTTGAATGGTATTGGATAAAATGAGAGACTTTTTAGAATTGGCGATTTCTAATCAACCCCATGATGTCTTGAATTTCAAAAACTTCATCGCACCTATATAACTAAAACAAAGATTTCGTCACAAGGACAAGATCATTTCATATTAATTTGAAGTTATATGTCTGCTTCAGGAAGGTTTGATACATCAGGTATGAGGCTAACGGTCACGCCAACCCTTAGACAATACGATGTTACCGTCCTGGAGGTCGGCACAATGTCTTTCAACCACTTAGTTGTTATACCTCCCCACGCGCAAGCGTTTGTATCAACTGGTGTTTGCGCCGGTGGATGTTTGAAAGAGGTAAGAATGTATGCAAGGATGATTGGAAGCCGTTATTTAAACTCGATACTCCGTTGCCCGTCGTAGACCAATTTGGTAACAATATTACTCATATTGTGAAGACTACAGGGCGTCCACAAAAAAAGTATACCCAACTTTAAATCCAAATTACTGGAATTGTAAGCAGTTTTTTAAAAATACAAAGCTAGTAGTAAAAAGCCTGATTTATTCTCCATCAAATAGTACCAAGATCATAATGTAACTGTCATGTTTGACTGAGTAATCTTGACCATTATGAGAGGTGGTAAAATTAGCACTATGCCAAGTTACCTTCCTGTGTGGCAATTGATGTGTAATTGGCTTAGTATTCCTTTTCTGTTACATTAAGTTAGAGGACAGGCCTTCCATACTGAACTGGACTTGGGACTGAGTAACTCTCTTATGAAAAAAGGTTTGGCAAAAAGCTTAACTTACTCTAAAATAGGCCTGCAAAAATGGTTCAACTGACACCTGAGCAGTAGAGCCAACAAAAAGTCCTTAAAAGCAAGTCCCATGTACTGTTCATAGAACCCCTATTCTTACTATTGAAATGGTTTCTAGCAATACTGCCCCATATTAATCTACTTGTTTGGACTCAATAATGGGGATACAATTGACTTCAAAGCTGCATATCAGCATGTAGAAGTTTCATTGCTGTTCAAGAGACTCTTCGGATCCAATTTCTCGAAAGGGAGGTACCAACTAAAAGTTATGGAAAATTATGCAAAAGTGTGAAGAACATAAAACGAGTATCAATTTGAACATTAATAATGTTTTGAACACAAAAAAACATTCACTGTGTCATTCCTACTTGAATGCTAACTTGGTGCTGATTTTACCACCTTTCATAAAAGTCATGATTGCTCAGTCATCCATGACAGTTGCATATTGATCAAGGTACCATTGGATGGAGGACAAACTAGTGCTTTTACTGCTACCTTTGTATTTTTTAAAATTGCTCAGAATTCTAGTAACCTGGCATTGAAGGTGGGTATACTTTTTTGTGGACGCCCTGTAGAACTTCTGAGGAAGCTTGAATACTACCAAAATATTCGTAATGACCATCTTTCAAGGAAATACTTTGTCTCAAGAGAAACTTGAAGAAATATTTTAACTAAATTGTTCCATTGAAGGCAACGGAGCATCGAGTTTGAATAATGGCTGCCAATCCTCCTTGAATGTATATATATTATATAGGCTTTGAGGTAACTACATGGGATCATAACAAATGAAATGATTCATTTAATTCTGCTTATTGGAAGTCAGAGGCATTTAATGGTAAAGTTTAAGACGGATGGAAGAAGTTATTTAGCGAATAATAAGTCTATTTTATTCCGGGATTGCACTTATATTAAATTTTGTTGCAGGCGATGAGAAAATCAGGTGTTACAGGAGGAATCAAGGTTATAGGAATGCTAATGCATGCACACATTGCGACAACTTCAATTGTTGTTCGGCTCTTTAGAAATGGCATAGAACTTCCGGAAATATCCAGAGATGATCATTACGACTTCAATTTTCAAGAAATGAGATATCTAAAGAAAGGAGTTGCCATATTGCCCGTAAGTGTATTAAGGCTATGACGTTTAGATTGATTTTTATAAATACGTGAGAACTATGGCCGACCGGAAAACTCCTAGAGAGTATCCCGAGAACACTTCAGATATCATAACACATAAACTACAAACAGTTACAACGGAGCAAACCTCACCATCCAAAATGGTCTTTAGAGCAAAGAAAGAGTTACAAATGTGCCGCTTGCCACCATGTGTGCAAGGCATACAACTATTAAATAAAATTGTCCACTTGTTTTTTTCTTGTACATGGCTTTGTGTTTTATATCAACAGGGTGACGATATCGCCGTTGAGTGCACACGTTACACGACAAGTAGACAGAATATCACATGGGTAAGGGTTTTCCATCGCCATCATTGACTATAATGTTCTTGAACTAACTGGTTTCGATACCAAGGAAGATTGGCTCCAACTGGTTTCCACCTCGAAATTCTGCCACATATGGAGTCATGTCGTGATTACAAAAATAAAAATAAAAAAGCTGTCATTCTAACACTTCATAATTTGAATCGCAAGTTTTGGTCTTAGTTCTAAACAAGACGTTTCAAAACACACACAAGAAGTGATTAAAGATATGCTATACAGATATGTAGGTCAGTATTACATAATCGTGAAATGAATAAGTCTGAATATATCATTGGTCAGAAAACACTAAAACCTGCTTGAAACTGTAAAAGTTAATACACTCTATTCCACACTGTGTAGAAATAAAATAACTTACACTATAAGTAACTGTGAGCCAATCATTGCATAGAAAAAACTTTATGCACTGTTTATAAGATTCACTGAGACAAGTGGGTCAATACTTCATGTACTTTATGTGCTCTCACACAATTACCTTCCCTTGCATAAAGTTGCTGTACAGTTATATGTAACTGAATATTGTATATTCATCACAAACAACCTTAGCAAAATGATGGTTCGACGAAATGGACGGTTCGCTAAAACCAATAAATCAGGCAATCCAGGCCAATTTGGAAAGAATCTAGATAGCATGATAGCGAATGAGGATAGTAAGTGAAATATATTTTGCAAAGGTCAGCTTGTAAACTACTGGGTAACCCTAAATGATGAGAAATATGTACAAAATATGTTTTGCATGATTTATTCATATCCCAATGATTTAACTCCTTCAATGCATATAATAAGGTATATACTTAGGTGGTTCAAAAAGTTTTGCAGTTGATGCCATAACTTAAAGGAAAATAGGACTTTTACAATGAAACTTGGTACACATATGTGTTATACATTTATACATTATATGTTAAAAGGAAGAGGTGCGATTATTGGCAAATACCCCTATGGTCAAAATGAATAATTGTTAGGTGTAACATGAAGAATAGAATGTCATATAACTCTTTGGAAAATATGAAAATGCTTGGGCACACATAGGCTGAGATAGGGGCCATTTAGTTTAGTAAGGTTGTATTACCTTACATGGGGCTGTGCTTCATTGACTTAACATGAGGATATCAGCAGATCCCAATAGAGGCCATTGGTTTCTATTGATTATCACACAAATACCAAAAATACACTATGACCTGAATCGATTGCAAACTTAATAATATCACAATATGGCACTAATGGTTTATCTCATCAAATGTGCAAATATGAAGTTTGCAATCGATTCAGGTCATACTTAAAATTAAAAGATTGTACATTTTTTCATCATTTACTCCCTACAAAATGGCTATAGAAAAATGCTCCAAAAACAACTTTTACACTTATCAAAAATCATACAACTTTGTAAAACCAAAGAATCTACTATTTTATTTCATCATGTAGTAACATATTTGGATAAGATGTAGGGATGCGTAGGATGCAAATGGATTTTGACAGACACAAAAATACTTCCTGGTTTGGAATCATATGCCTCTACACTTCATGATTGAATTATGACCCTAATAAGTGGCCTATACATCAATGCAGTGCTGAATATAGGTCAACAAGATACTAGTGTGCATATAAATGTAATAATAATTAAAGCAGAATACTCATTTTGAAAAATTTGATGAATTATTTTTTTCTCATGGGGAGATCCCAATGGAGGGTGTATAAGGTCCTTTGGGACCTCAATTTTGATTGGTTCTTGAGAGATGGTTGCTAAGGTAACCAGAGTGGTGGGTACCATGTTCAACCCGAAATTACGTTTTTCCAAATAGTTTTCTTGCTTGAATAAACTCTTTGCAAAGTGGCAATTAGCAGGTGTAAGTGTCTTTGGGTGGCTATTTTTCTTCAAATTCTTCAATTTTTTGCCAGCTGTCAACACATTCTGGCAATGCTTTAATTTTAATAGAATTATTTTAATATTTTACTAACTGTATAATATGTAGTGTGCATTACTGTTGATAAATAAATAAATGATTGCACTGTTCAGTAAAGAAATATACTAATTGTATTATTTAAACTGACTATACACTATAGAAATGATTTTCATTGAAAAATCAAATCAGTACCAAAATTATGGTTACCCTGTAGTAGTGAAAGGCACATTAAAAATGAATATCACCCCCTTCAATCTATTTTTACAGGTTTTTATGATTATTTCAGATTTTTCTATAGTATGCGTAACCAGGACGGTGAATTTTCTTCATTTTTCATCAAACATTTTGTCTTACCAATATTTATTATATATGTCAATTTTATCAAAATCGCGCCGCTACGTTTAAAAGTAATTCAAATTATGTAGTTTTTCCCATTGAGCTCCATTATAAAAATGGAATTTTCAAACTTAATATTTTAAAATTCTACGCGGTGAAAAGTTGCATATTGAGTAGTTAGTTAATGTTATGGTGTTAAAAATTCAAAACAAAAAGGAATAAAGAAAAAATGCCACAGAGAAGTCTCAATAGAGTCTCTTTAAGGTATAAGTCAAATCTTTTGGATCGCTGATTGTAATGCAACAGTCAGTTATAATGTCAGACAATAACATTTTCAATGTTGTCTTCGATATCGGCCAAGGTCACTAGCATATCCCATTCTCCTTTCAGTTCATTTGTGCGAAATATGCCTATAAGCAAACGAGTGATTTTCTTAAAAATATGGCAGGACAATAAGCTTGCTTACAAACCTTTTATTTTTTGACGAACTACATCTAATCTTTAAATTGGACTAAAACCTGTTGGAATATTTGCAGGGGTCCATGTATATAGGAAGTAAGGATGAGATGTGCTTGGCCTACATTGCATACTACCCAAAACTAAAGATGTCCCAGTGTAGGTCGGCTCCAAGAACAAAGGATTTATTGGCAATTGCAGGAGTAACTGAAGTGTGAGTAGCAAGAATTCTATTCAACACTGTGTAAAATACACAATTTATTTCAGAATCATATCTGCAGATGCCACAAACAATCGACCAATTATGCGGAACATGTATAATTTTTTTAATCAATATGACCTGTTGTTTGCTGGAATGTTCCAAAAGGGTTATGATATATACCATAATATACTTAATAGAAAAACGTATAACATCATTAATCTATAATTATATCTATAAGTTAAGCATGTAAATCTGTTAATTTTATTTCAGTTGGAAACAATCGTCATAAAATAAAAGTATTTCAAACACTTTAAAACTATGCTTTGGTCATTATTTTAGGGAGACAGAAGTTTTTCAGCTCCAAGGAAAAATAAACGTTTTGGAGCCAGAAATATGGAAAGGGAGACATTTTACCGATATACTGAGTACTGAAGTGGATTGGACAAACGCAACGGTTAGAGATGAATTTCAAAAGATCACAAAGAATGCTGATCGGATTTCAACATGTAGACAATTTCCACTTACTTATAAGAAGGTATCTGTTTTCATTTTTTTAAGTATCTTGAGCATATATAAATTAGAAATGTCATAAAAACATTGAGACCTGAAGGCCTACGACTTGCTTGGTGTATAAAATGGTTTTGACTCTTTATCCCATGCTTGAGAGATGCCCAGGCTGTGTATTCCAAAAGATAATAATGGTTGTGACTACTACTATTGGCACATGGAACAAACATAACGGGGATTATGATTCTTATGATTTATAACATGTTTAACTTGAACCTATTTTGCATGATATGTTACATGAAATTAGTTCTGCATGGGTTTGCGAAATATGCATGTAAACTGGGCCCAGCTGCAAGAAAACGTCGACAATAGAGATTTAGCCCCATCCTACTCCAGATTGTTATTTTCTTAAAATACGAGTCCAATCCCACAAGTAATGAACCTATTATGTTATTTCTTTAGTTCGACGACAAGTTCCTGCCACCCTTTATCCATAGTGATGCAATACAGCAAAACACACCAGATAATTGCCCATGACTAACTACTATACCAAGAACTATATCATTTTACTACGCGACAATATACGACGATAACAGGTCCAAAGCATCGATGCAAGCGATGACAATTGCAACATTCTCTGCTATAACAAAGGCTGATGCATCGAAAACTGTTAAAAGCAAGATTGAGTATACACACACAGCTTATAGAGACATTCCTTATGACATGCAACAGCTTAAAACAACTTCAATTTCAGGAAAATCAATAGGGTTTTATATCTTATTCTCGTGTTTCATATGTGTATTGGTTCATGTGTCAATGTGGCCTCTTTATATTTGACAGTTTTATGTGTATCATTCATTCATAAGATTGAGGAACATTGAAAGCATCGATAGTGCAAGAATTGTATTTGTTAATCCGTAACACCTCTTTTGTAGTTGTAAATCAGATATCTTGTTAACATGATAACGTGAAAAGGAATAAAATATTTTAACTTCATAATAACAATGCCTGTTTTAAATTTTTAATTAATCGTTAAATGTGAGCTTTCGATATCAGTTATTTGGAATACGTAGACGCAAACTTGACAAGTTGTTCTTGTACAAGTCGAGAATAGCACTGGGGAGGAACTCATGAAACTAAGATAGGGTGATTTCATACTTCAAATCACAACAAAATATTTGGCAAATGTGTAGTTTGTGAATTCCGGTTTCAAAATATGATTTCAACTTAGAAATTAATTTTGCCATTGCTGGGATATTCACAAATAAATTCCCTAGATTAAGAAACGAGGAAAAAGCAAAGCTTCTAAAAATGTACTGTCCTGGTTTCTTTGAGAAACATTCCTCCTCAGTGGTATTTACGTCATTTAAAAGTTGCAGAATAAGTTTGGCTGAAAACTTACATGTATATCGAATGCACTGAGATATACAAAACTGATTGGTTGAGACAAATTGACATAGCTGAAGTACTGGTCGCACTATACGTCTTGGCATGGTAGTATAGAGATACAATGATGATTTATGTAAAATTATTTGCTTTTGGGTCGATTATAACATACGCATGTCCCGATGATGTTCAGTTTCGATTAATCAAGCAGACATGTTTAATATTGATTATTATTATATCACTGTCATATTCCTCACTCTATGATTGATCAATTTCCTACACGTGACTAGAAATAACAAGTGATATTCAACAGGATCATGTGACTTCCGTTGAATATCAAATGATATTCACCAGGCACGACTTTGTTTTTATCACTTGTTTGCCTATAGGCAAAACACATACAGGTTCAGTTTAAATGTTTATCAAGAAATATAAAATGTCTATCTAGTAAAGCATATTAGATTTAGACATCACATCGTAAAAATACCACTTTGGGCACCATTACCATTGTTCAAGAGACACTCGAACATGTCTACTAAATAATTATTAAGTCAAATTCCATACGATTTTTTGCAAGAAATCAGGGTCAGCTACTACAGTACTATTCGAGGAGACCAATGCAACTTTTACACCAACTTTGCCTCAAAGCCCTCAACTTATAAAATCATAATATTGTAGAAACAGCTGAGATACTGAGAGCATTTCGTGATATTTTGCTGACATATACACAGAAATGTATTATTTACCTTCAAACAATGTTGATTGTAAATAACAATTGTGAAATATATAGAAACAATGTCACTTCCTTATTGTTTTATTTTCAAATATTTGTTATACAACTGCATCGTTTTCGACATTCTCAAAAGGTCATTGCGACCCAGATTTTTACCTATCCCAGCAACGGCATACATTAGCCAATACTAGCCAGACATTTTTGGGACAATAAATAATAATTCAATGTATTATTGTCAAAACAAGAAATGAATGACAAGTGCAAAAATCTTTTACTTGAATTTATGAGTTAAACAACGTTTCGAAAATAACAAGATAAAACTGGGCTTGGTTCAGAAATATGTGAAATATGTTCAGAAAAATGTGACATCATCATGACATTATGCTGTACTGTTCCGTATACTAGAGAAGAGGGAGTTTAAGCTTGCAGTGTTTTTCACAACCTAAACGTAGACGGAACTTATTTAAGCATGCATTTGTATGGACGATTGGTCATACGTACAGTTTCGATTTTGTATGCAAGCTTAAACTCCCTAAATAGACGCATGGTGAACTTATAGAAATAATTATTTCAAATCCTTAATCTTAACAGAAAGTTACAGTTCTTATATCAAATATAAATACAATAAACACATACAATAGTGAGTTACATGTAATAAATTATTTAACAATGACAACTCTGACGTCATTGATGCATAGATTGCTGCAAAGAACTTTGATTTTGACCATTTTTCAACTGATTGGAGATAAACGTTAATTAGTTATAGTGCTAAAGGTCTATGAATTAGAATGACGTGGTTTGTAAGTACATGTGTCATATTCCAGGTTAGACGTTGAATATATAGAGATTATCCTATATGAGGTTCAGGATATTGGGATCATTCCTTGGCCAATATAATATATCTACCCGAAAATATAAGGTTTTACAAACCGGCTTTATGTACCTGTGACACGTCCAAGTATGGGATAAAAAGGCTTATTCAGATATCCCATGTTTATGAATGATACAGATCATAAATCATATGTAGTAATACAAACATTCCATGCTATTGAGGTGAGGACCCATGGCACACAAGTGATGTTGCACAAAGTTCGTTCGTGGCTTGCCACATGGTCACAGATATTCCAAAAATTTGAGAATACCACGTGATCGTTCAAGTATTGTGACCTATATTTGTCCAATAATATTACGGCAAACTTGACAGTTGAATTGTGTAATAATTTGAAATACATCAACATTTAAAGTTACACATATTTTCTATTTAAGATAACAAAAAATATTTACATAACTTTGATTTCAATTCGCTCTCATTGATTGTCATCTAATTGAAACTGAACTTTGTGCCATTAGATTGATCAATTAGTCTTGACGTCACAAGTGTTTTCTTAATCTTAACATATGCGATCAATACATAAATATTTATGAGAATTTATGCTGTCTGAAAGCTTCTGATAACCAATAATCGATCACCAAAATGTGTCGTCACTGTTCAATACTGATGATAATAGAGTCCCTAAATGGGACGCTTGAATTTTTAGAACAATAAATCACTTGGCACCACTTGAAAATGTGTATATAAGAACCCGGTTCTTACATATTCAACAAGCAATTGAACAATAAGAAGAAACAAGAATTTTTAAAAATGATATTTTACACTGCTGGCATTTTGGCATTTTTTGCCATTTGTACATATGGTTCGCCGATTCAGAAAAGACAAGCTACAGGTAGGCTATAGCTATATGTAGATTTATTTTTATTTTTTGATTTATTTGGTACTAACCTACAATGCAATATTAATGTTACATTCCACATTTAACATAAAAATATGTATTCTAGTATATAGTGATTTCAATTTAAACATAATTTTATCTTCACTGAACTGAACTGGCAAGGTCAACCGAACAACCTATTCTCCATTTAGAATCTTGAGAACGTGTTTCAATCATACATCATTAGACTCTTCCTTCCTTTTTTATTCTTCAGAATGGACGTGGGTGGATCTACCCGGAGGCTGTATCAAAAACTTCAACAATAAAATAATAAAATCTGTGGAGAGCCTAGATGCATGTAAACGACTCTGTGAGGTAGAAACAAGCGTAGTGTGCCTTTCTATCGATTACAACAAGGGCAAGTCACAGTGTCAGCTTTCTGTCAAATACTCTGGAAATAACCCCTTGAGCTACCCATGCCACGCCGGCACTGAGTGGAGCTATGCCGAACGCCAAATGCAAGGTAAAAGGAAGCTTACGAATATGTTCATAGGTTTCCGATTTTTTGCGCTTAATAATTCTTTAATTTTTCGTATTTTGGTTTCAATAAAACAATGTATATATTTGACTCAAACTATGAAACAAGGCAAATGACCAAAGCAAACTCATATTGCTAAATAAATATTGTGTTTTAACAGGATCATGCCCAATTGGACAAGTGCAGTTCAACACAGCCTGTTACCTTATAGACACCGAAAAGAAGACACACGAAGCTGCCTCGAGTTCATGTCAGACACAGGGGGGTCAACTGACGTCCATTTTGTCTGCCATCGAAAATGCATTTCTCGCAGTTGAATTAGAGAGAACTCACACAGAGAGCAAGCATACATATTTCTATATAGGTAAATATTCTAAATTGAAATATAGTTTGTATAATCTAGGGTATAATTTCTATGAAATGCGATGTAATGTAAGTTTAATATGTTTATAAAATGCATATTTCCAAAAAATAAATTACACATACAGTACATAGTCATGCAATCTATTTTAATATGTATACTTGATATAACATTACAATATTATATAATATAATAAAACATAATAAAATAATTATATGATATCATATACTACTAATGTAATATAATATACTAGTATAGTAATTAATAGAATATATTATAACATGATATATTTATAACATGATATAACATATTAGTAATGTACAATTTATGATACATTATAATTCAGGACTTTCTGGCAAAAATAACGAGTATACACAATGGGCAGATGGCAATAGTGTAGGTTACACAAACTGGGGCAAAGGTGAACCAGAAAATAACAAAGAGGAATGCGTCACAATTGAGAAACAAGAGGGTTTTAAATGGCATGATGTTACATGCGGCAGATCCGAAGCATCCATCTGTAAATTTGAGCAAAAGATTGAACTCAGTAAGTTTGCATCGGTTTTAACAGATCCAATCTTAAATTTCGGCCATTTTTATAATCATGTTAAAATAAAAATACTTAAAATAAAAACAGATCCAATCTTAAATGTCAGCCATTTTTATAATCATGTTAAAATCAAAATACATAGTAATTGAATGGTCTTTATTATTTTAGATGAAAACTGGGTGGATACACCAGGCGCATGCATAAAGAACTTCAACAACCGCATTATAAAGCCTGTTAACACTATGGATGCTTGTAAAAAACGATGTGAAGACGAGACTGCTTTCCGGTGCTGGTCCATTGATTACAATGCTGGAGCTTCACAGTGCCAGCTATCGGAAAGGTACTCTGGAAATAACCCCATTAGTGACCCTTGCCATGCTGGACCCCAGTGGAGCTATGCAGAGATTTTTATTGAAGGTAACATTCTATGTAACGTTTTCTGGTAATAGCCATCAAAAAGAAATAAGCTGAACAAACTATTGTCAAACGGTTGACCCGTAAAAGACCCTCAAAACGATTTACCACATCAGAGGTTGAATTGAAAACTAAATATCATTAATGAATAAACACAAAGACCACATGCGTCTCGAACTCGCAACCTCGTGGTTACGGCGCCCAATCGCCAAGCTCGAACGTGCCGGCGCTCAAGCTAATTAAAGTGCATAGTTGTATCAAATATATGTATACATTCACAGGTACAATTGATATTACTGCTGATGACGCTTACGACCTGTTTGTCGATGGTGCCCAAGTTGGTTCCGGTAGAAGCTGGAAACAAGCACAACGATACTCGATTTCTTACCCGGAGAATGTGCAAGTGATTGCCGTAAAGGGTATGTATGTCAAGCTAATTAAATCGAATACCACCATCACACCAAACTAATTCTCAAGCCGTTTTTAGAAATGACGAACGGGTTTACAACGTGACTGAAAAAGACTCCCGACCATAGTCACGTATATGGTTTTAGGTAGACGGGATAAGGCCTACTCTGATGTGACAATAGATTTACGTACGATCTCTTCACTTGTTTAGACACACATAATTGGTGTCGTAAAGAATGTTTTAACAATTGTGTTACAATACAACTGAAGCCGTGTTCAAAACATCATTGTCGACAATTCAAAATATACACTATTAGACTGTAAGCTTATGTATACGTATTTGATTATTCCCAGGTTGGGACACAGGCAAAGTGGTATCGGGAATCATTCTTTCATTCCGTCATAGCGATGTCCTTCTTAACACCGACAGTAGATGGAAATGCTTCTTTGGATCCGTTGACCCATTGTGGAATCAACCTGGTTACGATGACAGGTAAGGTTGTACTTCGCCATGCTTTTACATACTACTCTGTGCTTTTATAAAACAAATTGGTAGATCGTTTGGAATCTTTTAAAGATTATATTTTTTAAATGATAAAAACAATTACAGAATTGGTATGCATTCAAAACCAGTAGCAAAACATCGTTTTATGGGTTGAGCGTTACCAGTTTAGTTCACCTGTTGAACGAATTCAAATTAATGTATGAAAAGCATAAAATGAAATTTTCGATAACCATATTGCGGATATGATATTGATCGATGATAAACATAGTATTCTTTTTCTTTCAATTATTATTAGAAAACATACCGAGAAGTCCGATGCATATTTATAATCATTGTGTGTCTATTTAGCGTGCTGAAACAGTCATTGTAAGTTATTTAATTCTCCAGTGCCTGGCCCGCGGCAGTGGAATTCAGCACAAACCGTGACGATTCCTATGTGAAGACCAACAATGGGAAACCTTGGTGGCCTCAAGTGGACAAGGCAGCAAAGATGATTTGGACCAAAAACAGCTATAGAGACACGACGGTATATTGCAGATACAGTAAGTCAACAATATGCTATTGTTCACTGATTTGGAGGTTGATTGAGCAAACTATATATCACCCATTGTAGACCTTCTATTACTTCCGTACTAGTTGAAAACAGAAAGATGTGATGTGTATCAGAATGAAGATTGACCAACAGAATTCTGTTGAATAGATTGATGTGTATTTGTCTTAAGTATCTGAAAGTGCAAGTAGATTTATGTTATAAGTTCAATCAAAAGAGCAATCCACGCGTTGCGTTGAATACAGTACCACGACATGTAGACCAACACTAGCTATCAAACCGTTTAGGTTTATTATATGGACATATTAGAGCTGAAACGTTAAATCTTAGTATTTCACTTTCAGCCTTGAAAGCGTCAACGACACCAAGAACAACTCCCGAGACAACAACACCAAAGTTAACTACTACACCAACTACAACCATACCTGTACCAAGTAAATATTTTTCTTTATTATGAAACTCCAATATAAATATATAATAGTACCTGAAATATTATAGCCCTGGAAAAAAACAATATAACAGTTTCAGAAAAAGTCGGGTGCTTAGATAGAATCTTGGATTTGATAGGAATCACACATTTCACTTGTTTTCCATAAAATATCAGCCTCGACAATTTCATCAATTTGATATAACCATCCCACGCTAGATACAATTGGAACACAGTTAATGGTCGAAGAAACCGCCGATGACCAGTTGAAGCTAAGAATGTAGTCAGCCATTGAATTAATGTTCATGGTTGAAGCCTTAATATAATCAGTTTTCCAATCTGTCTGGAGAATATATGTCAAGTCCAAATTTTCTGTAAAGCCTAGGGATGACGAGTCATTCAAATCACAGACATCCCCTCCCACTCCCACACTTTATATGAGTATATAGTTGTAGATTAAAAAGGAATGACACGATGTTTCTTTTATTCCAGTTTGCCAGTACATTGGTCAGTTACTTGCTGATAAAGTAGACCCATGCAGATTCTACCAATGTGCCTATGCCGACAACAACCTGAACCTTAGGGCAGTCAGCATGCCCTGTGCTCCCGGGACTAGTGTGCCGCCCTCTTACGTTGCAGGCAACCCATGTATTGGACCAGCTCTGGACCAGTGCCCCAAGGGAAAGGGCATATAAAATATATTGGACCAATGAACAAAGGAGAAATAGGATATATAATATATAGTAAATTTGACTTATAGTTAGTAATAAAAAATGTATAGATATATTGGATCATGGAAAGAGAATAGGAATGGAAAGGAATCTTTATGGCAACTGGTCTCTCACAATTTATTTTTGTTTCTATCAAAGGAGCACAAGCAAAATTCTCAGTTTACGACACGTATCTCAGCCATTCTTCTTTAATCCTACGTGCTAGAATCCTTTAGATCAAGTACAATTTGTTTATCGTAATTGGTAAAATCTACAAATCGATTTAAAAAATGGCCAAAAAAATCAAGTAGCGCCATTAAAATATGAATGCTGTTTACATTTTATGGTAAATATACTTACTTATAAAGAGAATAACAAAGTTTTTGAATGACATTATTCGTAAAATGACTCGACAAATGATGACTAATATTCGCTCTGGCACAGAATTTTTATCTGTTCCCCTAGTTGATAAATAAGGATGCGGACATTTAGTCAATTGCAGATTCCAATCCATTTCTTCAATTCTATGACTGGCCTTTATTAATTTGTTAGCATTAAGAAGAGACACAGCTGGTCTGAGAATCTGCTTATCGAATTTGAAATTCACTTGCTGAAACAATTAATAGTTCTAACTTATAACCAATGTTTTAACTAAATTATTATTATGTAATCATTGTAAATCAATCTTGAAATATATATTGTATAAAAATGCATATTGGGAGTTGCATTTATTACAAACTAGAAAAATAGAATTTCCACACTAATAGTAGCCTGGACAGAAGGTAACGTGATTTCTTATTCCTGATCAAGCCTTGTTAGATAGCAATGTTTTTGTGAAATCCAGACTGCACAATCCCTGACTTTTTGACCTCGTACATACGTATTAAATGGTTTTGACATTTTAATTTAAAATAAATGATAGACGTTTTTGCACAATCTAGTTACAAGTATCTGCAGTATCTACATTTTGTCACTCTAATGGTCAGTTGAGAGACTGGATTAAGAAATTAAAATGTAAGCACAAGGGGAAAGAGCAAAAATTGTTACAACGCATGCAACAAAATCAGGAAATCCTCACAACCCAATACCTCACACGGTGAACTGACGAACGAATAGCCAATAACCCCCGTCTACCTCCCACTTTTCAGGAACCATTATCACAATCTAAAAACACAAGGCTATGAGGCATTCCATTCATATCATTCATACTGGAGTCATAACACTTTTTGCTGAAGAGCAAAAAACTTCAGACACCCATTTATGCTGATTCTTCGAGCAAAGAACAAATTGGTGTGAAAGAAATTATAGTCCCCTGGGGATTATGGTCCCCTTTCTTAAAGGCCCTTACTGGCCCTGACTGTGTATAAATAATAAGGAAAATAATTGTAATTAGGTCACCATATAAATCAATAGAGAATAGGACCAAAATTGATAGGACCACCTACCTTTTTACACTGGCTTGAACTTGAATCTTGAAACTTTTTGTTTCAGTGTGAAATGTATGAGTATCATACATAATTCTAGAGAAAATGTAATTTGAGAATGAACTGATTTTGCCTTTTTAAAAAATTGGTGTATATTTAGTTATTTGTCAGCTTTGTTATCACTCCATGCTGCTAACTTAACGTTGCTGTTGCTTCGTGTAGGCTAAATATTTTTCAAAGCCAAATGTGATCATATCATATTGAATGTGGCATATAGGATTAACAGCATGGGGTTAACTGTAAAATGGCAGCTAATGAAGTGAATGATCATTCATTATCGACGTATTAAAAATATAAAGACTGGAAATAAACAGAACAGAACTCTCCCTTTAAATTCTCAAGATTTCAAGTAATTCATCTTCAAGATGTCAAGATCAATTGACAAGAACATTTAATATAGATACCATACTAATATATAAATTTAAAAAATCTTTGTATACAAATATTGAGATTGTCCAAAATACCATTATGCGCTATTATCAATTATGATTATGGTTCTCTGGTAATATACAAATAAATTCCAGTTGGTAGCTAGGATACATAGACTCCATATGCTCTCATAACTCAAAATGAATTTTTAGATGTTAATTATATTTTTGAAAAGTTAAAAAATAAAACAAATTGGATTTCTGAATATTTCCAAGTCCTAACTGTAATGAAATCAATAAAAGGCTTTATTAACATAGAACAAGTGAAATTCACAAATATACTAAGAAAACCCAACTTTAAAGTAAAAAACATCCAATTAGACTTTAGAGGTAAAAAATCCAATTTCTTTTATACAATACTGAAAAATAAAAAATCTGAAAAATGGTTTACCTACAAGAAATGGGAAAGAGATTTTTGTATATAATGAAGGTAAAATAGATGAAATAAATTGGCCAAATATTTTTACTAGCAAGATGATAAAAGTTAAAGACAAAAATTGCCAATTTTAATTTCAAAATAATTAACAATATTCTTCCTGGATTAACTGACTTATTTCTCTATGGGATAACAGATAATTATCATTGTAGTATTTGCAATAATTTATGTGACTTGAAACATATTATTTTTGAATGTTCCTTAGCAAAAGATATATGGGCACTGATACATAAAACATGTGGCCTTAATATTTCTTACAGAAAAATTATAATTGGTTATAATGGCCAAGACTCACATACACATTTTTAAAATTATTTTATCAGCATTGTTACAAACAGTATTTATAAATCATATATTTTAGAATTGAACAGTAAAAAACAAACAACATTTGAAAGCATGATTTCATTGATAAAATATGAAATTAATTACAGAAAAAATGTATTTTATTGTTCAAAGTGGAATTTTGTATCAAAACTATTAAAATGAAAATTGTATGAATTATCTATTTTATGTCATTGTTTATGTTATGTAAAATGACCAAAAGCTGAATAAAGACTATTTTAAAAGAAGAAAAAATAGACTCCATATGCAGCATTTCAAGAAAAGCAATGCCCAAATATTCGTTGTGCTGCTTTACCTTCTGCGCAATTTTTCCTTTGGAACCACAAGCGACGTCAGGGAAACCACTGAAACCTACAAAAGAACCACAAGGGGCCTCTAGGGAACCCCTAGTACCACTAGTACCTGCTCTGCTTGTCTAAAGAACCATTTACTATACTTGATGCTAAAGGGTCTAATTGTTCGTTGGAGCAGGACGATTCTAATTCCCTGGATGGAACTTGTGGTCCACTAAACGGCCAAAGGTAGATGACAAAAGTAGATGACCCTAGATGACCCTAACCCCAGAAGTCAACGATGGTTTCCTAAAAGACTCGAGAGGTTGCCTATAGGTTCTTATACTGGTTATTTAATAGTAGTCTTGCTTAAAAGACCCCGTACCCCCCCCCCCCTTTATCCTTCTCTCTATATATTGCCAGGTAAAGAGAGTGAAGGTGACGGGGGTGGATACAATCTTTGAGCAAGACTAATTTAATAGCCTTGCCCAAGTCGATATTTTTTAATTATCTGATCTTGAATTATTACGGCGGTCATAATATAAATCAAGTATAAGCACGGGGAATAAGCAAAACGAGGGCGAAGCCACGGACTGCGACTCACGTAATTCAAAACGAGGTTACAACGCATTATAGCTGAACAATGGCGGTAAGTCCAAACTTAATTTGGAAGGCATGTTAGGATTTGGGGTAGATTATTGGTTTGGATATTCTACACAATAGCTAGTATGTTCCAGTCGGTGATCAACATATTCATACTCCACCTGCAATGGCATTCTTGGTGCTCGACTGTCCAATAGTTTAGCATGAACACAAATGAATTCGAAATCTGCCACAAAAAATGTAATTTTGTCAATATTTGTCCCTAATATACCGATTTAAACAAAGGAATCAGAAATGACATCGAATTAATATAATTATTCATGTTCTATTGTTACAATTACATCTTCGTGTGATATTTGGTAAGCGGAAAACGTACAATTACATAGAAAATTGGAATTTATAATAGTCGCAGTCCATCCATCTGCCCAACGCAGTCCGCGACTCAATGTTGCTTTATATCTGAAGCTGAACGCAATCACAGCCAAAGGTAGATAGCACAATGTGTGAACAGGTGTGGCCGAAATGAATGGAGCAACTTTGGACAAAATTGAATATAAAGGGCTATTTTAATAGACCTACATCGTGTCTCAATCCATTCTGCAAATATATACAAGCTGTCAAATACAGCTGAAATCATGAATTTATGGTAGCTAGCAATATTGATGGACTGTTGGAAAGATCATCCAAAATTACATTAACTCACCAACTCTCCAATTATTTGATATTTTCCTGATATCTTAAATACTAGTTAATGTACCCTTCCCCAACAGCTTTTATTGCATCATCAAAAAGTTAATTGTTTCGCATTTCTACTTCTTATAAAAAGTCTCACCACTATCCAATTATCTATATATTTAACCCTATCCACAAATTGGTTTGTAATAAACATATTACGTTGTCATCTTGCGCTCGACTGTTCTGCCAAATACGCTATTGAATTGCCATATTTCTAGGTCTTAAACGATACAATATAGCAATTTGGGACATTGATTCAGGTAATATATGTTATCAACGTAACTTTGAATGATAATCTGGATGCTGACTTTCTTTTCCTGAAACAATAATAGCGTAGGAATATAGTTTACACTATCTTATTTATTTCGTGTTCGCGGCTGGACTGCGTTGCTTAGAATATCAATGGAGGCTGTGTTGCGTTGTTGAAATAGCTTTGTTTACTGGACTGCGTCCACTATGAATGCGCAGTTTGAATCTAATTTTTCTCCTCATGAACACATTCTATTATCAAATCATTTTCACGAATTATACTCGGAGCCTTAACTAACCTTTAGATATCAGAAACGTGTTAAAACTCCTTTCAAATGTATAGTAAATTAAATAATATGCACATATTTTACAGGTAAAATCAGAACTTGGCTACTGTTTTAGCTTGATCTGGACAACTGCTTGTTTTCTTATCTACAGACCAACAGTAGATACAGAGTAATATTTTGGTCACCGATTAGACACTACGATAGCATTTAAAATAGCTGGATTTCTCTATTTTGTCGGAAGAAGCAGAAGGCACTGCCGGATGTCCCTCCATTTTGGCGCTGGGCTGCGGTGTAATGTTACGCGAGTCGCAGTCCGTGGCTTCGCCCTCGTTTTGCTTATCCCCCGTGATAAGAGACCGACTTGGGCAAGGCTAGTTATTTAATAGGACCTTGGTCATTACCAAATGTAACTATATGAAGTTCTTAACAGTGTTTACAGTGCAATTCACGTCACCATGCGAAGAATGCTTCAAGTGCCATATTATTGACATTAATTATTAGGATAGAAATTTATTATTTATAAAAAAAATTAAATTATAAAAAGAAACATGACATTTTGGCATGTATCAAACATGCCAGAATTATTGTTGCTACACGTCTGTGAATATTCAGATCACATGGTGTGACCCCCTTAAAAATAGATGCCACAGGGTGTAAATGAATTTTTTCTCCTCAGTTATAAAATTCAAAATATGAAATTCCAGATATAAAAATATTTTTGACAATTAATGACAACACAAATATTATACTGTATAGCTAAGATGGTTTTACTGAAATCATTTTTTTATTTATAATTTAATTTCTGAATCTGAGAATATCTTCGTAAACATTTTTTGAACTACAAATATAGGAGACTTTACCACACTCTACCAAATATATGGCACAAATTATGAATTATTTCAGATTAAAATTTTGTTTTGTTCACAAATTTTACCGCTAAAACATAGTGACCCTTTGCAAAATGGCTGGGGCAAGGGGTGCAACTCATGCATTTCTCATAGATTTTGATATTTTGGGTATTAAAAAGTAACAAGTAAATTAGCATAATTATAGTTTATCTTTGTAGTAGTCTTGGTCCTTATTATAGTCAACATCAACAATTCTTGCTTTCCAATTATGAGTTATGGTAGAAATGTCAGAGCAAATAAATGATTTGTTTGATATCGTTTCTGAAAACAATGTTTATTTTAAAATGTGGTTACTTTAATCATATGTTCTTTTTCTGTAAAAAAGGTACTTTGACAAAGGTCTTGAGACAATTTTGATAATTTGATGTATTTGAGGGGGTTATGACAGGTTACAAGTGGCATGACTCGTATACGTGACATGTAACTTAGTTTGTGTCTACAGTGCAGCGTATGCACTTTTAAACTGTCTTAATGAATGCCTGATGAAATAATCCTTGCACGAAAGTAAAATGAATTTATGATGTTTTTAAATTATCAAGATGAGATTATGCTAGCTATTGTTCAGAAATATTTGCATCATCGCAACATTGTGGCGTATCCTCTCGATCGTACGCTAGAAAAGACACAAATGGTAGAGAACAATTAGAAAAACAAATCAGTTTCAAAAATGATGTAAACTTTGCAGTCTTCAGATTAAACATATATTCAATCAATCATATCTAATACTTACAATGATGAGGTCCATTGCATTAAATCATTCAAAAAAACAATTACTCTGACGTCAATGCTACGTAAACCACTTAATTAAGAACTTTGATTTTCATATATATTAAACTCATAATTGATAACGTTTATGAATTATGGTGCTGCCGGTCTGGGGATTAAAACAACATAGTTTGTATAAGTTGGACGTTTGAATGCAAACATAACATGGCACTACAAGTACATTGTTCTTGGTACATTCTACCTTCAAAATTATAATACTATTCAAACCTTTTTTGAAAATTGTTGCCAATAATCGAATTTGCATTTTGATTGTTTAGACATTGTAGCGTGCCTTGACGGGAACATGTTTTTTTAAACCTCGAAGTCGGTGTAAGATAAGTGCACCGCTGTCATTTGTGCCTTGTGACCAGAGTATGACTTATCGTAAATGAACATGCTTGATAGTGATGCAACAAATAGAGGTTATTCAATGGGAGAGATAGAATATAATATTGACCAAGGAAAATATCAAACTGACCGAGGGCGACAGCCCGAGTGTCAATATAACATTTTCCGAGGCCAACATCATATTTTTCGAGGAACAAATTCATATTCCATCACGACCATCAGTAACCTATTTATTCCATAATATTTTTCTGAAAATGTTTAGTATGTCGCCATCCAATTATGGTGACATTAAATGATACAATTTAGTTTATCAAATGACATTTTCAATGTTTATTAACACGTTTGAAATAGAAATAATTTATAATACTAACATGGATCATGATATGCCATGATGACACAATATTTAGTTTCGTGAAATTTTCTGATAGTTCTGATACGGGATCTGATACGGGATATTTTGAATATCTGTTTTATTCCCAGTTTATTTCCCAGGGAAAACATGTTATTATGGAATAATTAGAGATATACATGTATCATAGAACTCTCCGATATTGAAAGTTTTACCCTTTATACCTAGGTAACACAAAATAATTACATTGACGAGCAATTCGCACTTATTAGATTGTAATCTAGTTGAAATTGAACTTTGTGTCACCAGATTGATCAATGGCTCTTGACGTCACGAGTGTATTCTTGATAATCTTCTTCTTATCTAGACCAATGACAGAATCTAACAGATATGCTAATCGATCAATACATAAATATTTTTGAGAAATCATGATGTCAAAAATCCGATAACCAATAATCGAACAGCAAAATATTTCACCATCCCTCAACACTGATGATAACGAACTCCCCAAGTAGGATGCTTGAATATTTGGAACAATAAATCACTTGGTACCACTTGAGAAAGAAGTATATATAAGACCCTGGTTCTTTCATCCTCATTAAGCAACTGAACGATTGGATAAAGACAACGATCATTTGAAAAATACAAAATGATGTTTTATACGTCTGCAATTTTGGCAATTTTTGCTATTTGTTCTTCTTTTGGTTCGCCGATTCAGAAACAACCAGCAGGTGAGCTATACATTTTGCATACGTTCGATTTTGCTTCTTAAAATAGAGCTTCGTCTTCATAACTAGACGCGCAGGGTAGGTAAGAGCTGTATCATGTTTTAAACTAGCTTGACAGTGGACCTGAGAAGTTTTTCATGTGATGTAGTTGCATCTTTTTAAAGTTTTTAGGCAATGTCATAAAAACAGATGAAAAAATAGGTTGATCAAACTTTTGTTAAACAATTGGTCCTTAAAAGAAAATGAGTATTCTAACTTCAAAAAATCGCAAGAAAAACATTTAAGTGACATTAAAGTGCATAGTTGCATTAGATACATTTATACATTCACAGGTACAATTGATATTGCTGCTGATGACGCTTACGACCTGTTTGTCGATGGTGCCCAAGTTGGTTCCGGTAGACAGATCCAATCTTAAATGTTGGCCATTTTTATAATCATGTTAAAATCAAAATACATACATATAGTAATTGAATGGTCTTTACTATTTTAGATGCAAACTGGGTGGATACACCAGGCGCATGCATAAAGAACTTCAACAACCGCATTATAAAGCCTGTCAACACTATGGATGCTTGTAAAAAACGATGTGAAGACGAGACTGCTTTCCGGTGCCGGTCCATTGATTACAATGCTGGAGCTGCAAAGTGCCAGCTATCGGAAAGGTACTCTGGAAATAACCCCATTAGTGACCCTTGCTATGCTGGACCCCAGTGGAGCTATGCCGAGATTTCTATTGAAGGTAACTTTCTATGTTACGTTTTCTGGTGATAGCCATCAAAAAGAAATAAGCTGAACAAACTATTGTCAAACGGTTGACCCTCAAAAGACCCTCAAAACGATTTACCACATTAGAAGTTGAATTGAAAACCTAATATCATTAAAGTGCATAGTTGTATCAAATATATTTATACATCCACAGGTACAATTGATATTGCTGCTGATGACGCTTACGACCTGTTTGTCGATGGTGCCCAAGTTGGTTCGGCTAGAGGCTGGAAACAAGCACAACGATACTCGATTTCTTACCCGGAGAATGTACAAGTGATTGCAGTAAAGGGTACGTATGCTTTGCTAGGTACACTCTCCCCAGTAAGCTTGGTAACAGGAAGCCACCTCGATCCCCTGTTTAAGTTTATCGTCTTTATAGCAGGTCAAAGTCGTATTCAAAATTCAAACTCGTTAACTAAGTCATCTAACTAAGATAGCCGCGCCCCTTTGTCTTTATCCTTCTCTCGCAAACGGCAGATAAGATGGCCTCTGGCATACCAGAATGTAACTAAGTCATTATTACCTTATTATTCTATATCAGGAAAAACTTAAGGTTCAACATTGACAAACTTTAACATACGTTCAAATTATGGGGCCTTCTAGTTGCCAAACGAGGGGAGGGTACACCAGCGCTCATTGCTCTATTGTTCTAAGATAATGTATGATTTTCGAACGATTCCTGAAAAGTTGTCTCAATATCACAACGATTGGCTAGCTAAACTGTATAATTTTCGAAAGATTCTTTGGCCTGATTCAATAGCACACATTTTTCAACGATTTGTCTCAATACCACGATGACTGGCTGTATATTAATCTACAATTAAATCTTACAAGGCACTTGCAATATAAGTTTACTCTTCACTCGAGATTTGAAATGTATAAATGATTGGTGTTTAAAAGAAAATGTTTGCATTAAACTATCGTATTTTTGTTTTGAAGGTAGCAAACATGTGATCGTTACATGTAACACAATATTTTGCATTTTAATGTTATTTGATTTGTATATTTCATATTGATGAAACATATACTGTAGGTACATACAGGGGACCATACAAAATGTCACACCTTCCATTTGTTACAGACGCCAACCGCCGAACGGCGAACACTGTCCACAAAAACGTTGGAGACTACGTGTGGTGGTGACATAAAGCAAATCTCTATTGGCCATGGGAGTTTTGAAAACTGATAATAAAACAACAATACAAAAACACAATCCCCAAACACAAATAACAAAAATAGCGAGCACTACGCATATATTTGGATTGTTTGTATTTGAATAATTTCTTTACAGGGATGGACATAGGGAAAGTGGTATCAGGAATCATTCTTTCATTCCGTTTCGGCAATGTCCTCGTTAACACTGACAGTAGTTGGAAATGCTTCTATGGAACTGTTGACCCATCGTGGATTCAGCCTGGTTTTGATGATAGGTAAGGTTATACAAGTCATAATTAGCCATGTCTTTTATCATTATTATATCTTTTTAGGGGCAATATGAAGGAAAACATTACATTTTAATTTTGGAATAACCTTCTTTTCTATATAAATTTTTTGTATAGCATTTTAAGTGCGTAAAGCCTGAATGAAATTTGCTCAACGGGGGTCGTACGGCGGCCGTAGTTTCACAAGATACGGTATAGAAAATCTACATCGAACTGCTTTTCCCTATATTTCATGCTGCATATTTTTCTCGATTTTGGGATTGGGAAGCTACGGCCGCCGTACGGTGCCGTAGATCAAATGTGACGGAGGCATAATGTAGTTGTGTAAAGTTATTCCAAAATTGTGTTAGTCACTAAGTGTAAACCTGTACATCAAGCTAGTTTGCTGAAACAGTCATTGTAAGTTATTTAATTCTCCAGTGCTTGGCCCGCAGCAATAGAATTCAGCACAAACCGTGACGATTCCTATGTGAAGACCAACAATGGGAAACCTTGGTGGCCTCAAGTGGACAAGGCAGCAAAGATGATTTGGACCAAAAACAGCTTCAGAGACACACCCGTATTTTGCAGAAAAAGTAAGTTAACAAATCACAATTGTTAGTCCCTCATTTGAAGTTCTTGGTTGACGGATTTCAATTGGTTTTGACTGTGGACTGGGCAATGCATTGCCGGGCATTGTTATTGTTATCTTTTCACCCATATGAGAGTAAGCCATGTCACATACACCTGCAAAGAACGTGAATCAATATCTTTAAAAATTGAAACGCTCATTTTCCATTTTACTTTTCAGCTGTGAGAGTACCACCTACACCAAGACCAACACCTGCAGCAACTACACCAAAACCAACACCTGCAGCAACTACACCAAAAGCAAAACCAACCCCTGCACCAATTCCAACAAAATCAGTACCAGGTAAACACTTTATTAATTATAGCCAATGAATGTAAATATTAAATACATACGTCTTCATGATGAACCCATCCCACATTCCCATTACTTTAAGTGAATTGAGAATGTAGAGCTTATAATCAAATCTCAATCCGAACCATAATTTTATGTAAAATGTATGGTTGATCGAAAAGAAGTACAATGAAACCTGTATTTCTAAATACATCTTAAGACATCCCAACGTGAACCATTTTGCCCATTTCTTGAAGCTGCTGTATATTTCTAAAAAAACGCGTGAAACCTCAAAAGATCAAGATCGGTCTTCATTGCTGTAGCAGTTATAGAAAGAATTGAAATAACCTCGTGGACAAAGGATGATCCGAATAATTTTGGACGGTTCTGTTGGCGTTCAGATTAGACAGGTTTTACAGTAATACAATGTGTATTTTATTCCAGTTTGCCAGTACATTGGTCAGTTACTTGCTGATAAAGCAGACCCATGCAGATTCTACCAATGTGCCTATGCCGACAACGACCTGAACCTTAAGGCAGTCAGCATGCCATGTGCTCCAGGGACTAGTGTACTGCCCTCCTACGTTGCAGGCAATCCGTGTATTGGACCAGCTCTGAAGCAGTGCCCCAAGGGAAAAGGAGAATAGAATATATTGGTTCAGTTCCCAAAGGGAAATGCATATAGAATATATTTCGGACTTAAAGTTAGTAATCAGAAGAAACAGCTGGTCTGAGAATCTAAATAATGCAATAGCAATTTTTTTAAATCTCAAAATATTTTTCAAACAAATTACTGTTGTGTGGAAGGTGTCAGTACGATTTTTGGAAAAATAACAAATATGCAAGATGTATATATGGTTTCTTTGTATGTATCATGTATTTTTGTACACATATTTAAATCAATAAATTGTTTGATAGTAACACTATAGGTATATTTATTTTGAAATGTCTGAATGTGGCTACATTTGTATTGTATTGACTAACTGATCAAATGTTGGGGATGATTATTGCTTATGCATTTTATCCACGCATATGATTTCATCAAAGACACTACTTTTCGAATTCCAAGAGAGAGTCTGGTATAGAAACTGCGGCAGGGAAATCCTCATCTAATTTCCTATTAACCTGCTCGATTTTCCGTTATACAATGAGCTTTGAATTCTTTGTTTTACTCAATATTAGAAAATAAATCCACGAAGAAGAAATTTTGAGTAAAAGTTTTGTTGATAATAGTTTGTGGCATATGGATTAATCCATCAATTCACGCAATGAAACCCGGAATGAAACCAATCAAGTTCTAAGGGTTTCTCAAAGACATAATTTAATTCAGCCATCTTATGCTCTGCCTACTGTAGTTATATGCTAGCACTACCACGAGAGTTCGAAACGTTCAAAGTCTTGCTTCATCCTTGAATGAGGGAGAGGGTAAACCCCCGGGGGGTAAACTAGACTTCATGTAAGACTAGTAAGTAAATGAATAAACAATTATATTATTTTCATTCTATAATATATATCACATATATTTAAACATTAATTTATACATACAAAACGTTGTGCATAATAAATATAAGATATAGACTAACATTTAAGGATGAGAAGATAGAAACCAGTATTCCTGGATGGACGGATGCAAAATTTTCTCACCTTACTAATTTACTCTTAACAATGAAAACGAATGTCTCTGTGGCATCTTTGAACTGTGTACACATATTCTTCATTTCCCACACTTTGTTCAATGTACTACATCTACATTTAAATTAACAGCAATGGCTCCTTAAAATGTTCTTGTAATGATCAAATATTTTCAGTTGTACTTGTACATTGTAAACTGACATGAATGATTGATGAACATGCCAAAGACAGTCAAACAAAATAGTCCAAATACAGCATTTATTCGGGTAGTAAGTCATCTCCCAATTCCTCATCATCAAACTCATCCTTCACTTCATTTGGTCGCCTAGCAGCTGTCTTGGGTCGTTCAGCCATTGAGCCGAGAGGATCTGAATAGGAGGCATCTGGAAATGAAAGGGTTAAACATGTTTTATCAAATAATTATTTGAAACATAGAATGAGTATGAGTAACTTTTCTTGCTCTTGTTTATAAATTATGGTTCAGCAGAATCTTTTATAAATGTATTTCAAATAAAACAGTTATAGGAATTTTCACCAAAGTTCAAAATAAGTTTTAGAAACTAGAATGCCCTTGTATTAAAATTGGTTGACTTTTCAAAGAATACTAAATGGACTGACATTAAACAGGTGAAAGTGAAATAGAAATCAAAGATATGAACAACAATCAGAATTCTCAGATCTTAAACTCAAGGGAATATAGTTCTACTCATAAGATTAACATAATACAAGAGTAGTAAAACAAGTCAAAGAACACTACATACCGACTTCCTTCTTTCCAAATGCGTCTTCATCATCATCAAAGTTTGGCCTGGTCCTTCTTGCGGCACTTCCTGCAGATCGTTCACCCCTTGCACTAGATCTTAGACTAGTTCCACTTCCAGCCCTGCTTCCTGAATCTAAACAGAAAACATGCATGCAAACATTAAATGGTTAGCAATAGAGAAATACCAGTAGGAGTAGGTTGGGTACTGCCTGAATCTAAACAGAAAACATGCATGCAAACATTAAATGGTTAGCAATAGAGAAATACCAGTAGGAGTAGGTTGGGTACTGCCTGAATCTAAACAGAAAACATGCATGCAAACATTAAATGGTTAACAATAGAGAAATACCAGTAGGAGTAGGTTGGGTACTGCCTGAATCTATAGAGAAAACATACATATTAATAACAGATTTTTCCTATGTAACGAGTTATATTTATTTTTTGTATTCTTCAGATGAGTGTAGTTTAAATCTTGCAAATGAAATCATGATTGCTTTATTTGGAGGCTATTTTAGTTGATATTTGAGAATATCTCCATTGCAAAAAATATGCAACAAAAATTACATTATACTGATTCTCTATATTGCACTTGTTTACTGGATACACATAACTACACACTTTCAACAAAATCACAAACAAACAAACCCTCATCTCACCACCCCTCCCTGTATGTCATAGTTATATGCATTTTTATATATATCATCTAATAGCTGATTAAACAATCTAGCTATACAGAATATCAATCATTTTGGGTGATATCATTTTTATCTATGCATTGATATCAAATATCAACACGAATGAGTAAAGCGAATGAGTGTACTGTTGATATTTGATATCTACGAAGCAATAAAATGATATCATGAGAAATGATCTGATATAGGGTTTATCCCATTTCAAAAAATTTGAATAAAAAAATTTCATTGCATGATATCAACCATTCAATCGCATATGAGTTTGATAAATGTTTTTCTAAATATCACAAGGATTTCAATAATATCAAGAGTATCACAAGTTGTTATTGTAAATAACACATTAATCGTGGGATAAACATTATAAGTGTATGTAAGACCTAATTATCTTCAAACAAATGTACCAAAATGGATAGACCAACAAATATAAAAAAATTGGATATAAAAATGACATAATAGATTTATGCTTTCTACAAAACTGAAAGCAAAATCAAGTCTATAATCTGCAAACTGTCAGATGGCTAGACCAGAGAAAACTAATATCGCATGGTCTGCCTTCTTGGGATAGTCTCGCTTCAAGACTGTGTGGCCCCGCTCCATGTACTACCTTCCCTACACAACAAGGGAAGTAGGGGAGGGGAGGGGGTACACAGTCTTGAACCAAAACTATTAGCTGGATTCCAGTTGAAATGATCTAAACATTTCAGATTCAATCCAGTGAAAATCTTTATGGAAGGAAAACCTTCCAGTGCAGAATAAACAATTCTTGGGAAAGGGAGACAACCTGTTTGACACATGACCTTTATGAAATAAAATCATCCCAGGAATTGTGGGAGTTAAAATCCTCCTGTGCATGAACATTTCATACATGTGAAAACAACATACAAAAGCACACCAAACATTTACCTGCTAAGCCTAATTCAGGAAGGAATAAAAAAAATATGACATCAATTTGCATGCTATAACATTATGGTGAAACACAAAGACAATTCTATATCAAGTATATGCTTTCCCCATTCTCCACTGTACCAAAGAGCTTATGGAGGTATTTATTTAGACTAATAACATAAATATAATATTCATTGAATTTTCTTGTTTATTCTCACTGACATTTTGCATGTTTTACTGAAAAATATGACAACTGTGAAATCACACGGTCTTAACTTCAACCGTTAATTTGAATTATTGACCTACCGGATGTTTGAAAATCAAGGATTGCGACTCTCATACTGCGCCGTTTTTGGAAGTAGGGACTCTGTTTAAGAGAATAATGTACCATCAGACTCTAAACTCAAAATAGCGGTCAAAGTTAGGACCGCGTGGAAATGTGAGTGAGCAGGGAACATCATGCTTCATTATAACACGGTGTAATATGTAAAATGAACATACCACTTCCTGCACTGTTTTCCCTTCCCTCTCTCTTTCTGCCACTGCCTCTTCTACCACTGCCGCTATTTACTCTCTGAAAGATAACACACAGGGTTTTGAATAAGGTGTGACATAAGTGCCAGCCCAAGGCCTGGAGTCATTTACTCCTGATCTGGACCATCCAATTTTTCACCTTGCTTTGGAAAATAACATTGAATCTCAAATTTGAACACCTCTCAAATTTTTTTTACAATCGGCACACTTTTGGCCAGTAGTGTTTTGATTACAGGTAGGTTCAGGCCCGTAGCCAGGGGGTTCAGAGGATGTGAGTGAAGCCCCCCAGCAAAAGATTCTTACAAAATCTTGCAGACTTTGGGCCAATATGGTCAAATGTGAACACCCTGGAATTTTCAAAAAGTGAACCATCCTTGGCAAAAGTTGGCTTTGGCCCTGGGGTTTTACTATATTTTCAAGAGTTTATGGTTTTTTAAACTAAAAATATAGCAAACAGCAGGAATAAACTATATGATATCTATAGATTAGTAGAACATGTATAGTTAATTAAAATAAATAGTTGTACCTGTTCTCTGAGTTCTTTAGACTTCTCCGCTTTCTTGAGTTTTGTAGCGAAATCATTTGCATCTTTCAGGCCCATGTCTGTTGACAGTCGTACCAGGAATCTCAAACCTTAAACATGTTAATCATTTATAGATTTAACAATGCATCGAGTCAATTAGGATCGGCCATATAAGTATTAATATTTAAGCAATAGGTAAACCAATGAAATTGCTTAACCTACAGTCTACACTCCCGGGCCCCTCTAAACAATGTCATTATACTTTCTTCCATCAAACCTGACTTTCATTTACTTATTTATTCATTTATCTATTTATTTATATCAAACAATATAGGATCAAGTTAAAGTATCAAAGGATGAGTCTGGATATATGCCCTTTTGGTCTCTCAGTTAAATGTATGTAAAATATGATTTTTATAAATGTCCTAGTTATATTTGACAAGTGCATGTAGTTTTTCATGAGTTTTGATGCATAATTAACCCCCTGCTGAGAGTCAAAATAAGTATCCTAACAAAAAAAAACAAGTAATCATTATCATAGAAAAAGACACCAATGGCAACATGTATGGCATATAACATAGAAATAACTTTAAGACATATGGATAATTAAAAAGAAAATCATTTTTTTAAATATATTTTAGGATTTAAATTTTTTCAAATTTTTGAATTTCCCGCCAGTTTAATTTGAAGGGGGAAAAACAAGATGGCTGCCATTTTTTGTAAGAAATGTCAGAAAAAAAGTAGCTTCACTTTTAATTTTCACCATGAGCACAGTTTTCCGGTTTAGGTTTTTTGGTAGAATCTAACTTTGAGTGATTATAATCCCTTGATTACCCAGATTAACACCAATTCACTTATCAAGAAATACCATTCAATGTCTATACAAAGAAAGTAAGCAATGTTTTGGAGGATATATTTCAAACTTTTTGTATAAATTATTCATTTAGTATTTGTACTTGATTTTTTTCAATTTTGGCATACTGGTAGGCGTTCTCTTTGATGCCAATATTCTTCATTAATTGTGATACAAATTGGTATTTTTGTACTCTTGGGAAAAGGATAAGATATTGAGGTTTAATAATATGTGTGATTGAGTTGTTTTTTCAGACATTACAATTTCCAATATTTTCTAAGTCGATATCCAGACTCATCCTTTTCTAATGAAGTTAAATAAACCATCCCTCTCCCTAAACTACCCAAAACACACATTGAGTTTTATGCTATTCTTTCTCCATCAAACCAAGCTTTCAACCTGTTTCCATTGTATAATGTTTTTTTATCAATGTACTTACATTCAATGTTTTCAGGGAATCTCTTATTTATACTTTTATATGTGTCAAGGGCCTTCTGGTAGTTCCCACTGCGCCTGTGACAGCTAGCTATCATCATGTACCACTTTACTTGGTTGGGCCTAAAACACAAGTAATGCAGGATTTTTGCAACAACACATAATATGGACCATAGAAAATTATTTTATATATTTTTGACTTAAACACATTCCAATACAGCCCCAAAAACTTGAACAATCAGATATTTAGTCATGTACAGTACATTAATTTTTGGTTTATGTCAAGTTTGTTGAGTCTGCACCAAACTGGACTGTAACTTACTGTATCAAGGCTGCTCTCTCAAAGTATTGTATAGCCTTCTCACAAAACTGAGAGTCAATGTAGTAGGCCCCTAGCCATTCTATGATCTCAATGTTTGATGGGAAATACTTGAATGACTGAAAATACAATTAGAAAATGTAAAGCGTATAAGGTGAAAATAAACATTTCACTTGAATGTTTAATATATAAATAAAAACATAATGAATTATTATTTTGTGTGGTTATAATGTTAATTTCTCAAAACTGCACATTTGTGTTTAAATAACAGTATAAATTTCATTTGGCTACAATAAAATTATTGACAAACAAAATGAAATGTGAAAATGAATTCAACAATTTTTCAATGACTGAATTACTTACATCATAATGGTACTGGAAAGCTTGTGACTTATCCCCCTCATTATCAAATATTTCCCCTAGTCTAGCCAAGAGGGTAGCATCAGTGGGCACGATGCCTATAAGCTGCATGAACCATTCTGTAGCCTGTGCCGTATCTTCTAGCTGGTCATATATATCAGCAATGTGATATATCACCTGAACATAAAAATATATTGTTTATGTTAGGAATGAAAAATGTTCATGAATGTTTGGTGTGAAAAATAAGGTTCATATAAAATGAAATGTTAATATGCGGAATTACCTTGTATCTTCTTCACATTAAATCATTATTAACTCCCTCCCCCCAATAAAGTAAACTTCAAGAACACAATTTTGTTCCATATATTAGATGTACAGAAATCATTATACTGTACTACTTAAGTCAGTTTTTTAGTTTTTATGGTTTCTTTATTTTACTTTACAAAATTATCTACAAATGACAGGGCCGAGGCTGAAATCAGCATTATTGGCCCTGTTAATACAAAGTTTATTCAAATTTACAAAATAGCATCAAAATGACTACCAACATATATGTATGCATGGCAGGAATGTGTTAAAACTATATAATTATATCAATGCATTCACACAAAAAGGATGTAAAATGCTTCAATATTGAAGAATTGCATGTTATGCTAACTCCATCTCTGCTATACATTAAGATATTCAGCTTTTGCTCTATAGAGCATCCTGTAAAGAAAATGTTCATTTCTGGCATGTTCCTGAGTTCCCCCCAAAGTTTCTCTCTTATAACATTCAACAGAGGGCATTTGAAGATTAGATGCTTTGTAGTTTGTTGTTTAAAACCACAGATGCATTTGGGACTGTCAATACCTTGAAAATTATGTTGAAAAAGATGACCAGTAAAAATGAAATCACATCTTGTTCTATTCAGTAAAATTTCTTCTTTTCTTGTAAGATCCAGGTTTGTGGTTGTTAAATGCTTCATTGTCCCTGAATATTTACGTAAATTGGTTTTGAAAGTGACTCTTGATGGTGCACTTTTTAGATAATTTGGAATGGCTTCCCATTCTCTTATGGCATTTATTATTGGTGACTTTTGTGAACGTGCAGTTAACTTTGGAATAGTGTATTCTCTTGATTTTCTCAAGTTAATATTATGTTGCTTATTTTGATAACTATCAAAAATTTTTTGAACATAAGTTGGGACCAATTTCTGTCTAACATCATACATTAAACGTAAACGTTTCTCCTTTCTCCGCTCAGACAGGGTATTCCAATTTAGACATTTCAAAACCTTTACAGTAGATGTTCCATGAATGCAGCCACTTACTAATAATGCTGCCCTATAATGAACTTGGTCTAGTTTCATAATATTATACTTGGTAGATTTTTCAAATAATATACTTCCATACTCTAAGTTTGGGAGAATAAATGATAGATACATCTTCTCTAGGTGTTTAGCTCGAATCTTGGTCTTAAGAACTTTCAATGGATTTAACATTATATTACATGCTTTTATGATATCCTGTAAATGGGCTTCAAAATTCAAATGCTCATCTAGAATGACTCCTAAGTGTTTATGAGTTCTGGTTCTATTAATGACCTCATTTCCTAGGTAGAGGGGAGGGTATAAGAGATTGCACCTCCTTGAGCCTTTAAAAATCATATCTTGACTTTTAGAAGGTTTAAATTTAAGCTTCCATTTCTGTGACCATTCCCATAAATTATTTAAGTCAGCTTGTAAATGCTGGTTCTGTTCAATGATATTAGCTTTCCTATTAAATGGCATAAAGATTGAACTATCATCTGCATAAAGGTAAAGTTGACTATGATTTATGACTTCATGAAGGTCATTTATATATAACAGGAAGCAAAACGGCCCAATTATGGATCCCTGCGGCACGGAACTATTTATGAAGTATTCATTTGAGATTGCTGATAATTCTCCATTAGCTTTAACTTGAAGTCTACGATTGAAAAGATACGACTGCAAAAGTTGAGTAATAGTATCTGAAAAGCCATATGATTTAAGTTTTTTTATCAAAAGGAAATGCGGAACGGAATCAAACGCAGATTCTATATCAAGAAACACTCCTCTGACATCATGATTTTTGTCAATGTAATTGTCAATAAGATCAACAATCGTTAACAGTTGTTTTTCCGTACTATGTCCTGGAAGAAAACCAGACTGATTTTGATACATTAAGTTGTTGTCTTTAACATATTTAAACATGTTATTATAAATAATACGTTCTAGCAATTTAGAAACATTACTTAACAAGGTAACTGGTCTATAATTTTTTGAATCACCCTTTGATCCTTTGTTTTTATATAAAGGTACTACAGTTCCCAATTTCCAACAGGTGGGAAAAACTTGTTTGTCTATTATTATCTTAAATAAATCAAAAAGAGGTTGATCAATACTATCACAGCACATTTTTAACATTTTATTTGAAATGCCATCTGGCCCCCCTTGTTTTGAGACATCAAGACTTTGAATAAGTTTATTTATGTCTCCCTTAGTGAATTCAATTTTATCAAAAATCATGTCAGTTTTCAAAGGTATTTCTGGTGATTGAGTTTCATCATAGTCATGATGGAATTTAGATAAAAATTGATTAAGCAAAAAGTTTGCATTTTCTGAGCTGTTTTCAGCCACAATACCATTGTCAAAAGAGAGAAATGGTATGTCAGAACAGAATTTTTTCCCAAGTAACTTTTTAATGGCAATCCAGTAAAATTTGTTATTAGATGTATGTGTTTCTAAATTATTGCAAACAGAATCTTGATAAGATTTCTTGGCTTTCTCAATAACCTCCTTAACAACAGACTCTTGTCTTTTGTATTGATCATAAATTACTGAATTTTTTTCAACCTTAAATTTCCTGTATAACTTGTCCCGTTTGTTTATTGAGCTTTTGACTTCCCGTGTCAACCATGGCAAATCTTTAGAACGGATTATTTTAACTTTATTCGGAATATGAGTATTAAATATTGATAAAATTGCCCTAGTAAAATTATCAACCATCTCATTTATGTCTGAACAAGACATGATTTGTTCCCAGTCGTACTGTGAAATTGCTCTATTCAAGTGAAAAACATTACAATCGCTATACTGCCAGATTATTCTTTCTGAAGTTAATTTTTCATTATGCCTACATATGTTCAATTTGCCAAATAAGCAACAATGATCTGACCCAATTGGTGGTTTAACAGATGCTTCAAGTACATATCCAGGTGAATCACAGAAAAATAAATCTATGCATGAGCGGCTGTTTCGAACACACCTAGTTGGCTCATCGATCAATTGTGAATAAGAATGTTGTACTGAAATATCATACAATTTATTACCTTCGACCGAATTAACATCATCTGCCCACCAATTTTTGCTTCGTGCGTTAAAGTCCCCTGTAAACATCACCAGGTCGATTTTTTGGGAGTTTGACACTTTTTTAAGATTTTCACTCAAGCAATTTAGATAATGTTCACGCGTTATAGGATTCTGAGAAGGTGAACGGTAAAAAGTACCAAATAAAATATTTTTCTGTTCAATACGAGCTTCAATCCAGAGACAATTTGTATCATTAGCATTTAAGTCATCCAGAACTTTAAATTTAATGGAATCTTTGACATAAATTATGATACCACGCCCAGATTTGTTATAAAGAGAGTCGTTTAATATATGAAAACCATCTATGTTATATTTTGAAATGTCTAAATCAGTACCTGTCTCACAAAGGCCAGCAATAGATATGTTTTCTCTCTTAATAAATAGCTTTAAATTTTCGAATCGAATACCATTGTCAGCAGATAAACTATTTATATTTGTAAACATTATATTCACATTCTCAAGCTGACTAAATGGACCTGGATTAGGTTTGACATCAAAAGCCACCAATAGCAAACTCCTAAGTACATCTTGCTGAAATGCAAGATTTATATATAATGAACTTCCAGGAATAACTACTTAAGTAGTACTGTAATATCAAAAATCAGAAAGCTTATGCTTCTGACTGCCAAAATTGCACACAATTGAAATATGTCTTTCCATCACAAATGGAATAAAAGAACATTAAATGGTTGTTGACTCCATAAAAAAAATATAAAATCCAATTAAATGAATGATTGATCACTAGATCTTGTTTCATAACATTATCGCAAAAAGGTAAAAATATTAAACAGCAATAAATTAATAATTAGTTGCACTTAGGTAATGTCTGCCTAATCACATGTTCTCATATGTTTCATATTAAAAGCTGATACTCCATAAATCAAAATGTACAGGTAAATTGAATAGAAGTTTAGATTACTATTGGAAGTGAAATTGTGGCTTATACATTATGTTATTTGGAACATAAAGTGAATTCAATGTTTAGGATACAACAAAAAGTGACAACAGCTCTGGAGCAATGATCAATTATTGACGTCAGAATTATTTACTAAGGCAACTTTTCGATATCTTATTCAAGTGTGTTAGCTTGTGGTCACACAAAAGATGTTTTTTAAATACACTAAAATGTGGAAAAGGAGGTACAATTACAATAAACAAACACAACAGTTTTTTTAATACAATAACTAAGATTAAAATATTGTAGTAATGGATTGGAACACTACCACGAAGACACTGATAAACTTTAAAGTAAGCACATTAGTTACATACGAAGAAAAGATACTCTATAGCGTTATAGCCACCATAGGATTCATTGGGAATCTTTTCGTTATATTTATCTTCTTTAAATCTGTAAAATTTCGAAGAAAACTTAACAACATGTTGATTATAAATCAAAGCTGTGTTGACATGTTGGCTTCATTGGTCATATTATTGACTAAAATATTTTATGATATGGACTGGATAAAGGAAGAAGGGCTATTGGCAAATTTCTTCTGCAGTTTTTGGCTGTCGGAGTATATCCCTTGGGCACTAGCCGCAATTTCAACATTCAACCTCGAAGCAATTACCATCGAGAGATACATTTCTCTTATACACCCAATATTTTACAGGAAACACATCTCAAGGAAGCTAATTTGTAGAGTCATAGTCCTTCTATGGTTGATAGGCTTTGTACATGAAAGCTACGAAATTGGGAGTTCTGTCTTAACAGGAAGAACATGTTCCTTGTGGACGAAATGGCCAAGTAAACAATTCCTAAACGTATTCGGCATATACATATTTGTTGTTGAATTTTTCATGCCAATTAGTATCATGGTATATTGCTACATCAGAATTGTCTATATGATTCACAACGGATCAAAATTTAAAATTGGATCATCTCGACGTGAGCAACAAATGTCTAAAAGTAGAAATATTGTTGTACGTACACTGATTTTTGTGTCGTTTGGATTTTTCATTTGCTGGGGACCAATTATTATATATTCACTGTTAAAACGTCTAAGTATCATTGCAGACTACAGTGGAACACCATTCCAGATCACATCCTGCATGGCATTTGTAAATTGTAGCATCAATCCAATCATTTATTCATTTAGCCACACTTTATTTCGAAGGGAGTTGAAGAAGATTTTCACAAAAGAGACAGTTTTACAATGACAAGTAAAAGGAGGTCAATAAATAGACAACAATAAAATAATAGCAATTTCAAGAAAAGTGAGTTGAGTCCATTCTGGTTTATCAGTCCCGTAGGCCCGAAGTCAGGATTTGCCAAGCGGGGTTCAGTTTTCAAAAATTTCCAGGGGGGTTCACATTTGACAATTTTGGCCCAAATATGGCTAAAAACACTTGTGAAGTGCTCAAAATGGTGAAAAACTGCATGATTTTGAAAGAATTTTTGGCCGGGGGAGGGGGGGGGGGGGTGTTTGCCCGAACCCTGCGAACGCACCCTGGTTACGGGCCTGATGTTTGAGCCTGTAATCCAAGAGATAGTACAGGCTGTGAAACTCATAATGAGTTGGGCCTTTCGAAAATGCTATATCATGGCCAATTAGAGAGTGGTGCAATTCTTCAAAACAATATGTTAAAATGATCTACTCTACGCTTGATTAAATTGACATTTACTAATCGATCACGATAATGATCACAATAACACCGTCTTCATGACGACTATATCCCACCAATGGTGTGATAAAAATAGTATTATGAAAGATAACTGACCTGCGCATTGTTTCTTAAAATAGCATGTAGCTTGTAGAATGTCTCCAATGCATCCTCAAGTCGTGCCAATTTCTTGTTGCTCAACCCTAGATATAAGTAATAATTACACAAAATAGTGTCACATTTAATTTATGAGTCAAGGTCATCTTAATCAAGGTTAATGTCATCTTTGTTTACTCGTCTCCCATGGGTTAAAGTGAAGACCGAGTGTGTGAAGATGATGTAAGGTTACGAAGGTCAGGTTTTGCAGCTATTTTTGTTAGTTAGTCACTCAAATGATAAAATTTTCAAGAATTGCTAAAATTAGAATTAAAACCACTTTATCATAAAAAGGAGAGATAAATCTTTCAATCAAAAAAGCTCCATAAATAAGACATTTTTCAGTCCCATGATCCATCTATCTAATGTTAAATTAACTCATGTGTATAAACTGTATATCATGTACTATATGCATATTTTATGTATTAGTAATAAGCCTTTTAAAGGGCCTACTTAGATGATTAAGGACCTAAATGTACAGTAGATCATAAAGGACCTACCTAGATTATAAAGCGCCTCAACACAGGAGAGATCATTTTCAAGAGCTTCCTTATAGAACTGTTTTGCTTTCTCATAGTCTTTCTGCATGTACCAAACATTGCCACGGTTCACCAATGCAGCAGGGTTGTAGCGATCTGCCTGCATTGCAACCTCTGCATACTTAGCTGCTTGACTCAGATCATTCTCCTGGAATTGAATCGTAGAATATATACATGTACAGGGGTTTCACTAGGATTTCTCACAACAGGCTTAAATGAAAACGACAGGCAAAATTAATGGAAATCATAAATTTAACATGGAAAAGTTGAAAAGTCCCTAAAAACAACAGGCGATTTTGTGAAAACAAATGGTGAAAATCGCCTGTTGCCTGCTGCTAATGAAACCCCTGCAAGTATGTATCACTCATCTGACACCATGTAAAAGTTTGTATGTTAGTTGGGCTTTTTCAATACACTTTCTAGTATTGTTCTTTTAACTTCAGCTAAAGTTCATATTATAAGGGTTTTAAAACATTGAAAATTATTTAAGAAATATTTTGAATGAGTTCACTTCAGAGAAATACTGTAATCACCATTCACAAACACAGGGTTAACTGTACATGTAATGGCTTTGTATACTAATAAAAAGTGAAGTACATGTATCTTTATCTTATTACTTTATTTGCTTGTACATACCAGAAAGTAGAGGAAGGAGAGATTTGTAGCAGCTGTGCTTGCAACCTTGGTGTCCTTCTTCTCAAATGACTTCAGTGTTTCAATTGCCTATAACATCAAAACACATTTTATTTTAGGTATATATCCATGTGTATATCTCAGACCCCAAAAAATTTTAATAATATAATCTTTCCTGCTTCTTATCTGGGTGAGAATAAAGAATAAATGTACAATGTAATCTACATGCAACAATATATATGGACTTAATACTGAACAAATATCTCATTCAGAGTGAAAACTTATTTATATTGATGTCTCCATTTCCTAGGTATTTCCTAGGGATTAATTTAGATTTCACATCATGCAAAATGGGGTAAATGTATCTTCCCAGGAAAATAAAAAAACTGTATTGAATCATGTTCATTGAAAAAATGACCTTCCATTAATGAAATATTATTCTTTAATAGGATATTGTCCATATGAAAAACCATATCCAATCCCCTCACTAAAATAATCTATATTTATTTCATTCCTGAAGTGGATAGATTATTGATGTACAGTTGTATTAGGATTAAAACAGTTACCATATATACATTATCTAGAACAAATACTATAATACCCCATGCATGCTTTTGGAGTATACCTGCATAATTGTTTTTAGTTTATGAATTCAATTTGATACTTTAGACTCGGTTTAGAGGCTGGTTGTTTGAGGCATATGTTTCTTATAATTTCCCAAATCAAGACGTTCTTGGTTTTTAGGAGTAAAGCAGCAAAGGTAAGTCTAACATGGCCCAAAATCTTGAATATATCTGAATCATGAAGATGTATGAATGATGCGAATTGCATCCTAGATGAGAGTCATCTTGAAAAATGTATGTTTTTATCTGAGCTGGATGGTATGACTGTTGCAAATGTTTGAATGAATGGCGGTAGTGTGAAAAATAGATGGCCTGTTTTTCTTTATTGTACATGTACTTGTGTCATGTTTGAAAAAAAGAAAAAAAATGAAATCTCTTTCAGTGATGTAAAACTTTTTGTAAATAGTAGCTTAAAAAGTCCTTGTCAAATGACAAAAGTATGAGAGGGGCTGCAGTCCACGTAACTTTTAAAAGGCATCTTATTCATTTACTACTCAAAGCAATTTTTTAAAGCAGCAAGTTATAAGTTGAATGAATTTTTGTGTATTTTATGATAAGTGATACAGACTGAACACCTTTTACTTTGCCATCAAACAAACATTGATATTTCATGTGTATGATTCTTGTTAAGATTACTGAAATAAAAAAGCTATATTACTTAAAAATAATATCATGCAGTAAAATTAGCATGCAATACCTCACACTGTAAAACTTGATATTCTAAAACCAATTTCTTGAAAATATCGTCAATTGGATTTAACTCCATATTTTCAATTGTCTTTCACAGTGTAAAAATGAAAAAACACTGTAGTGATTGAATTTTGACAATATTTTGAAAAATAGGTCCATTGTTCATCATTAAGGGGTTAAAGCCTTAATGTGAAAAGAGTAAAGGGTTGTGGGAGTAACCTGAATGACTCCAGGGTTAGGCATTGTCTTTGTATTACCATAATATGCCAAAATAGGGTTAAATTACACACATAACTAGAAACTAGTAAACATGCACACATTGTGAACAAACATACCATTTTGGAATATTTCATCTAAAGCAGAATAAATACACAATCATTAATATAACAACATTTCAAATAAAAAGCTCACTATATGTTATTCAAGAACAAACTTCAGACAACAAAATGAAACAAGCATTATATTTACAGAATTCACAAAACAACCAATTTCATCTAACATCAAAGAGTAAAACTTGCAAAGGAATTCTTACAGATATACAAAGTTATATAAAGGACACAACATGGTGATGCATGTATGACTTGTACTGAACAATAAAATATATCGAATCAAGATTTCAAATCACAAAAGCAGCTGTGTAACATATCAGTGGAAGTAATAATCAAGAGACAATAACGAATACAAGCAAATACATGTACATTACAAGCAAATATTAGTAGCTGGGAAGCATATAGAAGCAACAATATTAATATTGATGTGATCACAGTTTTTCTCATAAAATTTAAACTGGCTGAAGAATACAGCAGCTTCAGACAGTCAATTTAGCTCCAATCATTATCTTGATTAATTCATAAGCTAATTGAGCTATTTTAATGCATCAAGAGAAGCTGATGGTCGTAGGAAGCCATTTTAAAGGCGCATAATTTGGTCATACTCTTCCCTAGCTTTGAGTAGATTTGTCCACAAAACATAGAATGGGGTGTCCAGTATAATTTTCTGAGATCTATGTGACCACATTGAAATACATATATGTAGAATGTAACATGTATACCTGTTGGAAATCCTTCTGTTTAAGGTACATCAGTGCTTTATCAATCTCAAGATCATGTGCCAGTTCAACATAGGATGAACCCTTCACCTGTTCAACACACCTGAATACAGAGACACGTACAATGTACTTTTTTTCATTATAATATTACACTCAATGCTTAATAGGGTTTAACAAAGCAGACATGGGAAGTAGTACTTTAATCTAAATTATTTTATCAAAAAACGATCTTACCAATCATATCCCTCAGCAAATGTGTTCTCGATGGCTGGTGAAATAATCTTTGCTGCGCTCTTGATGCATCGCTCGGCTTCAGTTTTACTACGTAACAGAAAATCACATTTTAAGCTTACATGTTTATCATGTGTCAGTACTATGCACCCTTGGATCATAGTCAGTGGACTATGCATTTACTTGTCTAATGTACTGGTAGATTATTGCAAATGGCAACAAAACAGATGGACGCTAAATGCTGTTGGATTCAAACAATGGTAACCATAACAATTAAATGTAATAATGACTTCTTAGTGGTGACATATGTATACATTTGGTTATAATGTAAATACTGCAAGGTTGAATGTGATGGAACAACTTACGCCTTTCTCTCTATCTTCCTGAGATCATCATTCTTGATAACTTCTAGGATGAGATTGTATTGTTTGTCATCCTGCAAGACATACTTTGGTCAGTTAAATAATATATAACTTTTAATGTCCAAGTAAGCAGTCAATTCAGAGTATATGTGACTAAATTGAAACAAAGTTTCTTAATCACTTAGCTGTAAATAAAGATTTTACTGGTTTGCAATGTATGAGGAAAAACGAATTAAACATACATATTGTGGCAAATAATCATTAATTGAAATTATGTGGCAAATATTATGGATCAAACTTACATTATGCGGCAAATATTTATCCTCATCTTCCATTTTCAAATCTACCATTAGAAGTTTCTGGAATGCTCTTTTCATTTTTTCTCGGTCTCCCAGTGCGAAGTAACAAAGAACAAGATTGAAGCCTGTTGCGATGGTGGGCTGCTCCATCATGATGTGTTCAAAGGAGGTGATAGCATCGTTGTATTGATTCATCTTCACAAATGCAATTCCGATGTTGGACATGATTTTAATCCTAGTGGAAAGCAAATATAAAATGAAACAATTTTAAAACATTTAGAATAACTGAAACATAAATTCACAAAATGAGTAAAATTATGAAATTGAAAAACTTTGAGGATTTATATCTCAGATCATAATACCTGAAAGTTTTAAAATATTTTTAGAATCTTCAATTGAAAAATATTGTAAAGAAATTTTTAAGCAGGTTGGAGAAAAATATCTGAAAGCCTTATATTCATACAATAGAAACACTATGACTTGTTGAAAGTGAAATCCGAAATCTTCAAATTATATTTCTTATTAGACCTAGTGAGTGAAACAAAGAGTTATAACTGTTAAATTAATTATTCTTTTACAAAACATACCTCATGTTTTTGTGAGTATTTGGGACCTGATCAAGAGCCATCCTGTACATCTTGACTGATTTCTGCCATTGTTTCTGTTTGAAGTAAATGTTGCCCATGTTCACCTTCAGCCGCCCTAAAAGAATTCAACAACATATGGTTATGAACATATCGTTTTATAATTATAGTTGTTTTCTGTTAAGAAACAATTGCCCATTCGGTCTTCAGTATGACACCAACCATCAGACACGCTGGTAATGTTAATTAATCTATTAACCTTGGCAATTCTATCTGTTGATTGTTTGAAACCTTGAAAATTGGAAAAAACATACATGACAAGTACAAATCATGGCAACATCGATTATATGGCTACGATCGTAAATGTGACAATGAGTTAAGTTACCTGCATTGCTAAACATCTTGTTCTTCACAATGACTTGGTATGTGTTAATTGCCTCTCCGTACATCTCATTTGCTGCATACTGGTTTGCCAGGTTGAATAAAACCTGTAGAAAACAACAAACAATCATGAACCTGTAGAAAGCAACAATCATGAACCTGTAGAAAACAACAAACAATCATGAACCTGTAGAAAACAACATACAGTCATGAAACATTGGTCTACACTTGAGTCTTCATTGCAAGTTAATGCCTAATTTTAATTGTATTCTGTATACACTGTATTATAGATTTGGTATATACGGTATATTCGTAGATGTTGGCCTTTGATCTTAACATGTGGAATTTTTAATATGTACATGTATAATCATGCTAATGTACTGCAACAAGTAAACGGGAGTCAATCTTAATTAATCAATCAATATGATAACATTCAACATATGAACCAACAATGGTATGGTACATATAAAACCACATTTTCTCATTTAAATCATCAATCATGTATGAGATTTGTATATAGGGTTGCAAATAAGTACCCCATCTACATCCAAAACCAAAACATATGATACCAAGTCCAATTGTATATCACACTAGGTACCATTTATTAAGGTTTTAGCTGTAGCAGGGGATTTGACATCCTATAGAAACCCATTTAACAGCACTATGATGCAAATATACATATATAATATCATCTCATAAACAGGTTCATGATTTCTTTATTATTTTTCAATTTTAAGAGAAAGTGCGACCAGACTGCTGTATGATTATTACATGTATTATTAAGGTGCATTATTATTTATTTTTGTACATTCATAGGCATGTATTACTATAAGGCAAAACAAATTCTTGACTAAAATTATAAAAATGAAGTCCCATATAAAAGTATAATATCTAAATTGGTTTACTTACTTTTTCCTCACCTATATAAATTTGCCTAACCCATTTAAATTTGCCTCACCCATTTAAATTTGCCTCAGCCATTTATTGTACAAATATCACCCTTGGCATTTGCCCACATACACTCAATTATAGGCTTCCTCTTGAAAGCTAATAACTCAATAAGTGATAATGCATCTTAATAAAACGCAAAATGTTACAGTCAGGTTGTAATTATTGTTAGTAACAGAACATATTGGAAATATTTGTTAACCTGGAAAAACAGGATAGGGTTGATTTTTCTTGAATCCTCTTCCTAGATATTGAAACATAGAAAATGATTCATGGATATGAAATATTTTTTACATTACTTTAATGAAAACATAAGAGATTATTTTATTTCATGGAAGTCTACATATTTCAAAGGTTTTTCAATTTCATAGATCCATTTAGACATATTTCTTTATTTCAAGAATTGCAACAGATTTATGAGCAAATAATAGCCCTTAATTAATAAAAAATGAAATCCCAATTTTTATATCATTCATGTAGAATCAGAAATGATCAAACTATTTTACAAGTACATGTACAATGAAATAGAATTATTCTTAATTTTCTGTCAAATACAAGTCTGAATATTCATGGACTTATTTCTTCTTTACTTTATTACACAAAACATCTCCCTCAATGCAAAAAGGCAATATTGCAAGTTCTCCCATTTTTGTTCGATTCATTTTATAGAACTTCCTATAATGCCACTACAAAAAAAACTTACTGAGTATGTGAGATCTAGATTTATCTGATCATTCGCTGACATCTGCTCTCTCTGACGTACCAACTGTCTCTCTTTGCGACCAGCTTCTTTTGCTTTCTCAAGAGCCTGCAAATGAATGCATGTTTTGAGAAAATGTGTGGCATACAAAGATGATTGTCAGTCACAAAATATGATGTCTAGGTCTATAATGATATGTAACCATTTCTTGGTCCAAGTCCTAGATATGTGAATAATGCTAAAGTAAAGTGTGTAACTTACAAGTTGAAACTCTCTCCGATCATTTGCAAAACAGCTTTCTTCTATCAGCTCATTGACTTTCTTCTCAATTTGCTTGATCTTCTCTTCTGGGCTGAATTTATAAATCAGGAATACAATATAATACGATGCAATTCAATACAATAAAATAAGTACATGTTCTTGAGGCAATGGCACAAGATTTCAGCTTTCAAAGAACCTATATATATCTGAAAACAGATTCTCACGACTGTATTAATTTTTTCTAAAGCATCCTCGAATAAAAGAGTAATGCATTTGAGATAAGAAAATTGAGGTCGAGGTTTAACATTACAAATACACATACCTATCTTCAGGTTTAGTTTCCAGGGGTGGGGCTGGACCTTTTGACTGATTCATGGGGTCAAACTGTGCCCCACTCCCTCTATAGCCAGCACCTTTTACTGCAGTCATAGGGCGTGCCTGCCCATCCTGGCCAACCTATGTGAAGAATATATGTGACATGTTATAAAACAAATCTTCATTTACAAAATGTATTTTTCTCATTATTGGAAGTTAAGAAAACTTTTTATTATTCATGCATTCTGTCTTGTAACTTCAGGAAATCATCAATTTATATACAGGATACAGGATTTGTAGGATTTAATTATTTTTCCAAGTGATCTCTGATGCAAAATTTGTAAACAAATACAACACAAGCAAAATACAAATAGAATAATTGATATTGATTCAATGCATGTACTTATAACATCAACAACATACACATTGCTCATTAATATTAAATGACATATGATGTTAAAATCCTACTTGAGCTCCTGTGATAGGACGTGCTCCCATGGAAGAAGGAGGCATGCGACCTTTACCCATTGTGCCCATCCTGGCTGCTGTAGGCTACAAAGAAGCGATGTTTAGACAGTTGTATATTTCTAACATTTTTAAAGCATACATTTTTTATATTTATTCATTTCATATTATTTTCTCTTTATAGTACTGGACATGCATATTTCTGATTATTATCATTCTGGTTGAAAAAAATATGTTACTCTAGAGTTAATCATTCATTGTTAGATATATTAAATGGAACTGTTACCATAAGTTGAACCAAAAGCACGATTTGGAATTTTACTTCTTAGCATAAATAATACCTAATGCATGTAATTGAGTAAATGGATAAAAACTCACAGGTGGACGTCGTCCGTGACTAGTTCTAACAGCATGTTGGAAGGCTGGGTCATTCTCTAAATCTCCTGTATCTAATGTAGCATTGTAATCATTGAATCCTCCATACAAATCATCCTCATCTTCATTTGCCAAATGAACCTGATCCATCATGTCAAGTCTGTTCATATACAAATACCAGCGTTTTCTTTAATGGATGTATATTTTGAAGTTCTAGCAATTTCTAGGTTATATGAATTAAATCTAAAATTAAATGTCTTTGTTTGTTGATATATTCCTTGGTCTTAGTGATAGATCCAGTTTAACTTGTTCAACTTTCTTCTCCCGTTAATAACTTTTTCCTGTAATCATAAAAAAATGCTAATTGAACATGTAATGATCCTATATCAATCAAGATGGGTAATATTGATCACTTTAGTGTCACACAAAGCAATGTCAGGACTCAGAAGTCATGGCAGGAGCAGGAGTGATATATTTTTTTTTTAACTTTAATATTTTTGTAATTTGTAGGAAAAAGTCAGTTTTAACTTTTCTTGGTTATCAAATCAACTGAGGCCAAAAGTTAAGGTGAAATATACACTAAATTAATGAATATGACAAATAAAAACTTAGGTACAAACCAGGAGTCAAAAGAGTCACCACACATTCATTCAATAATGGTAAATGTATTTAGAACCGTTATATATTTGGTCACTATCTATAAACTGGCTGGGGTCCTAGGCTGAATATTCAGATATCAGTATGTTCCGAGGCCAATCTGCCAAAGTTCAAAATGTTGCCATGCCAATCAATTTGTATAATATTGAAGGCGGCACATATCTTCCTTCTCATACCAGAAAGTGGGAAAACCAGATGATTGCCATAACTCAAAAGGCATATAAAGTGGGAAACAATAAACCTCAATCATCAAAAGTTGTCACAATGGGGTAATTTCTAAGTTTCATGTCTCAAACTCTCCAGAGCGGTAGAAAAATAATTCCCGTTCACTTTAAGTAGCACAATAAATGAATCCAAAGCTTCATACCTGCAAATGACGGATCAATTCCTACCAAATCGAACGAATGTTTTCATGAATCGCCATGTTTGTGATCCAAGGAGGATTGACTCCAAGAATGCAACATCAGTTAACATTATTTACTCGTGAGAGGTTTCAAAATGGCGGAACAGCATTTTGAAAGCTGGCAAGTGTCATGTTGCATTCTGGGAGCCAATCCTCGCTTGCGGCGTAATCAGGCTTCGAAATCATCTCAACATTTGAAGAGTCTGCATTAACACACATTAACATGTGAATATACACTTCAAATTTTTAAGTTACTATTTGTCATTATGGACACAAATTCCACTATATTTGGACTTACTAGGACGGAGAAAATAGAGCACTGAATAATACACTGAGGTAAGAATTTATTACATGTGCGACAGCATGTATTTTTCATAGCAAGACTATAGTAATTCTTTATGTTCCCCACTGTAGTCTATTTGTGGCCATTCTCACCTCATACTTTAAAACATTAACATGTTAACATTTCAACATATGTTAAAAAGATACCTAACTAAACTGATCACCATTGAGGTTTAGATACGTGAATCCCCAGGATTAAGAATAGAGCCAATATTATTGAATTCTACGACCACTTTAATAGATTGTGGTCGTACGCGCGAACCGTTGGTCAGCCAATGATTTTACAAAGTTGGAGAAAATACTACGCATTGCACACCTAAATGACCTACCTCGATACATTCCTTAGTATTTTAGAATTCTTTTTATGTCATTGAATCGCCAATTGTATGGGTTTATCGGCAGAACGAAGAGGTTTTCGTTTTTGATAGCAATAGGTTGCGTGTATTATTTAACTTCTTTTAATCGTCAAATTCCGCCATTTAGTTGTACATTCGGTCCCGGCATGCACCAGTCATAAGGGGAATCCCTCCCCGACGAGCTTACGTCATCTTGGAAAGTGCTTAATATTTCCGATTCAAAAACGAAAATCTCTTCGATCTGTCGATAAACCCATACAATTGGCGGTTCAACTACATAAAGAGGATTCATAAATACTCATGAATGTATCGAGGTGGGTCATTTAATTAAGCAATGCGTAGTATTTTCTCCAACTTTGTAAAAACATTGACTGACCATTGATTCGCGTACCACAAACGTAGTGGGGTTCGTAGGACGCGATAAGAGGCAATAGACATTTATGGCCTACCTCTATGATCAGTATGAGGAATGATCTGTGGTGAACAATTCCAGCAATTATTTTTACAATTTTGGGTATACATATCTTGCTCAATGGGCGCAGTCAATTCTATGCACAGCTGCAACTGGCCTCATAAATGTCATAGCAACTCAACTGGAGTGAGAAAAATCTGAACTGAACAAACATTTTAGTGAAAATTTAGATGACATTGCAGCAGTTTTTGGAGTGAAATACACAAATCTCTCCTGCAGTCTATATTCAAAGATATTAGAGTTTGGCTTAAGATCAAAAAAATATAACAATTACAGCTTAATAAATTAAAAATAAGCATAAATACCTGGACTTCTTAAAAATTTACAAAATAAGTTTTGGTATGCATCCCACAATTCTCACTTCCGTTTAAAGATTGGTCATTTTCAATCACTTATCAAATGATCAAACATGTGCAAAGTACTTTGACCTCCTATGAGATACCCCGCAATTTAATCACATAATAGTTGCTATTTCATCCGTTTGTCGAATCTTTTTGTTTATTTGATTTTGAATGTCATGGTGAGAATAACATATCTAATTCTGATTTAATTTGAATGATCGGTAGATGACCTTTGACCCAAAGAATGCAGGTGCTTTGCGCATGCGTCATGACTTGGCTTCGCTGAAGGCCGTTGTGAACAAATTTTACTATTATTTCCGTGTTTTATCCAAGTTATCGTCAATGAAACTATACAAAACTTGTTTTAAATGGATTTCTAATATCAACGAATTGGATTAATAAGACATATCTTCAGAATGACGGGTAAGGTGAGAGAGGAAGACTGGCAGAAGCTGAACGAACAAATTCAAGAATGGAATGCGAACCGTTTGGATTTGTTCGAGTTGAGTCAGCCGAATCAGGTAATTTACCATTTATATCCGGCATGTTTAATAGCCCTTTATATCAAGCACTGTGTTTAGATATATGGAGCACCATATATGCACAGATTACCTCTATACTTTTCCAACGCTTGCCCCATTTTCATGCCAAGTGTTGACCTACATATTCAATATGGCTGCCAAAATTTTGACACAGCTCTAATCAAAACAATGTGTTTCAAATTTATCAAGTAGGACCCTAGACGTTTTCCAGTACTTAGGCTATGGTCCTGGACGTATATGTTTACTTTTTCTGTATAATTACGATTTGGTAGTTAGGGGCACATCTTTTCACATTGAAATAACATACCTCATTACATTCTTGAACTCCTAAATTAATGCACGTCCTGATTTGGTTTCAAACCCAAATAAGTTTATCAGCAGAACGAGATATTTTAGTTTTAAGAATGGATTTAAATATCATATCTACTATTTTTTCATGGCCTGAGTTCGTCGCTAACATGCTAAATATAGTTAGCTGACGTTTGGGAGTCTGACTTACCTTCTAAAGGTTAGAACCCGAATCTTAATGAAACCATATCACCTTTATTGCGTCGATGATGATGCATAAACACAGCATTTGATAGAAATTAGTGTAAATGCTTTTCCGACTTTTTCATTTTTCATCAATGTTGACTTCCGGGAAGGCGTGTTAGTTATCACGAAATAACGCATTGACCCTTGAACTTTACTTTGTTGATGTGTCAACCAAGCATGTCTGGTGTGAAAATTAAAAGAATACTAAGCAATGTTCTACATCCGCCAAGCTAAGTGAAGTAGCCAATATTTAAAATTACCAATTTCAAGTGAAGTACGCAACGAACGAAACTGCGTGATCTGCACTCCCACTGTTGGTCTGAACGAAATGCTACTTACAAATATGAGCCATCTGCTGTATTAGTTGATTAATAGAGTAAGACCTGTTGGTTGGTGATGCTTTATAATTTAGACCAAAACATTGGAGAACAAACGAACCTGTAAATCGTGAAAACAACGAACAAATATTCTGTTTTCACATATGTTCGGTAATTTTTCGTATTGAAACTTCCGGAACTTACAAGGAAATCATTCATTTTCACGGTCAATGATTTACCTCTTGGATGTTGTGGCAAATGCTCCATGGTTGACGGAACAAAGGTGATATGGTTTCATTAAGATTCGGGTTCTAACCTTTAGAAGGTAAGTCAGACTCCCAAACGTCAGCTAACTCTTATATTTAGCATGTTAGCGACGAACTCAGGCCATGAAAGAAATAGTAGTCAAGATAGTGATAGGCTGCAGTAGGGAATATTAACTATAGTGTTTTTTATCGAACCTAAAAAATAAGCTATCAAAGGAGTGCAATACAATATTATATGGAAAAATACATTTATATTTTAGATGCAAAACATAGAATATTTCAGATAAATTAGTGTTATGTGCAGTTTAAACCTGTGTCCTCATATTCATATCCAGGAAATAAAAACTACATTGATGGAAAACATGTTCATAATGTCTCAAAGTAGCTAAAGTTATTCCTTCTTTTTGACATTCCCTGTTTTAAGAATTTTTTAAAAGCATCATCAGGAGTTTATTGTTTACTCTCATGTACTAGCTACATACCCAGCCAGAGCATTTGAAAATCAAGAACGAGCGATATAAGCATGTGTATCTCTGAAAATATGAAGTACATCTAGACCCAATTTGCTATGTTATGATCAATAATTTTCAATAAAAAGGCAGTTTTAGTGAACAATTCTCAGAAATATCTCTTTCTGAGTACTCAAGAGATAAATATTATTATTTTATTCACACAGTGGTATTATATAGACTAGACAGGGTATTTAAAATAAACTGCACTAATATAGTTATTTAAATAACTTGATGTAATCATTTAGTTGACTCACAGTATGTGATCATTATTTGCCTAGGGATAAATAAGTTACTGACCAATTGTAGTTAGAATAGATAGGGTGGATATTGGTATAAACAATTTTGAGTAGTGATTCATTTGATAGCAAATTTTAATTTTTACTGTGAGCCTCATTAACCAAGATCTCAGTCCCTAAACAGTAATTTGAAAAAGGTGGGGGTATTAATAATCATAGGATTCTCAGTTTGTCCTCTCTCAATTTTGTCGTGTTTAAATAGAGTAGTTGCCACAACAACTTCAATGGTCTCCACAGGATTTTTTCTCAAGTGGGTGCAAAATTCTCATTTTTACAATGCAGACAAAAATTGGTCAAAATATGCCTATTTACTTGTGATATTTCTTTTGTCAAGTGGGTGCAATAGGATTTTCAGGTGGGTACAAGTCTGTTATTAAAATCTCAGGTGGGTGCTGCCTGCTGGGGAGATCACTGAACCTAACTCTGTACTAATAACAATATATACCATCAATCTTTTATATTTATGTCTGGAAAGTATCAGCAGAATCACAAAAGTAAACAAGCTACTTATACTTGTTCGTGATTGATGGAATGGCAGGCATGCCCTTATATACTGTAATTTGTATCGTTATTGTGAATTTGTTTAATATTCAGAATCAGAATTGTTGTCTATTGAAGAATGTGTATTATTGATCAAAGTTACTTTTTTTGTTCTGGCATGCAACTCCTGTGTAAGACACTCCTGTTGCTTTTTGTGTTCTTAGTAAAAAAGGATTGGTTTCACATTCTTACTGTATCAGGATAAAAAAATTCCTACATATCTTGGATATGATATTGCTATCAGAGAGCATGATAAGATGTATCACTGTTACTTTGGACCTGTATGGATCATTTTGTGTTTTTACCTTATTCTATTGAAAATGTAACTATTTTGTGATGGTATATTTAATGATTTTTTTAAGATGTTATAATGTTTTCTCAAATCTGCTCTTCTTGGTATTATTTGAGAATTGGAAGGTTGGTATTTCATGAATGACAGTTTTATCAAGATAGATGTGAGACAGTTCCATATATCATCAACTCATAAGTAGTATGACCCAAAGCCTCTCTGATTATGGGGGTCAACTTTCTGGAGAGGATCCAGGAAGGGGTCTATTCCCAACATTTCAAGGTACTGGTACCAAATTGATTACAAATGAATAGCTACAATTACTACAAATGAAGAGTGTGGTCTCTAGCATTAGAGCAACCAGCTATTATACACACCCAGTGTAGAATTAGAAAATAATGTTTCACATAATTGAATAGAGAATCTTGAAACTTAGTTGAGATCATGGGAAACAGGAATGTTATCTATTCATGTATTTCTGTTCTAACCGGCAAACGCAGTGTCATTAGTAAAAAACTATAAACAAAATCACCATGTATGAGTTAATTAAGCTTATCTCCCAATATGCTGTAATCCTATTTGTTAATGTGTTAATTAGTGACATCTTCAACAAGTTTCCTAATCACTATGAAGTCAGTGTGTTCAAGTTCTTGAGTTGTAACAGCTAGAATGTCTTCTACTTATTGTAGAAGTTCTTTCTATACGATGCTGAAGAGCAAGAGCAAAGCTTTGTTTTGACACTCTTCATAATTATTTGGTCTAGCTTATATGGAAAGAGAAATTTGTGACATTAATTTTGATTTTGTAAACTTGATAAATAGCAATAAAACTACATTTGAGAATATTAAGATGTTATCACATTCAGGCTATTATAACCATGTAGTAATGTAGTATATACCGGATTTTCTCGCATATACGCCCCCCTAAATTTAGGCCCATGGGCCAAAAATCGAATGTAGTACGCTTATACGCCCATGGGCCTATAAAAATGACTATTGATTTTTTCAATAAATTCAAGAGTATTTTGTCACTGGCAGATCGTTCTGTCGTTACTTTGTTTCAACATTAAGTTCAACGTTGTGCCTTAAGTGGCAGTGGTGGATCATTCTGTTGTTACTTGTTTCAACATTAAGTCCAAGGTTGTAGGTGACATTTCCATTATAATTCTTACAAAACATGCGGTAGGACTACAACAGTAGGTACGGTAGTATATTGTATTCATCAGCTGTTCTCACCTTTACGCCCACTGGGCCAAAAATCGAAAGTAGTACACTTATACGCCCATGGGCGAAAAATAAGAGGTAAAATAACAGACGAAATTACCCCTTGTTTCAGTTATACGCCCAGGGCTTATATGCGAGAAAATCCGGTAATAAAAGGCAAGTTTGGAATAGTACCCTTCCATTCATTCAACTTTGCTTCTTCAAGAGAGCTTCATCATGTATTACATTGTAATGAAAGGCACATTTTGGCATATTCATCAAGTATTCCAATCAAGGAAGTTATCACAGGGAAAATACATGTATGCTCTTTAATTTCTGACCTGCCAATTCTTAATTTGTGAGTATCAGGAACATTGGAGATAATCACATTCCAATGGCTTTGTTATTGATAAGCTGTGTAAACAACACTAATTAATCCTATGCTACATAATCTCATTAACCACTGTGTTAACTAGAGTATCATTAATTAATGTTTCATAATCCACTTCAATTCTATTATATCCTATTTATACATCGATTACTCTAAGGAAATGAACACAAAGATCATTTATCTGGCACCAGAGAATTTTTTCCAAAAAACTTGTGCCAGGGGTATGCAAAAATAACAAAAGTTGCGCCAAAATATCCTTTGAATTTTTGATTGTATTCTTTGACTTGTCTTGGTAGAGGTGAGAGGCCTATGACCTGGATCCTTCTCGTGTTATTGGGTGCACAACAACACAATTTTCTCTGATGTCATGTATTATTTTATCCAAAACAATACTCTTCATATTCTTATCTTAATCATATGGCCATGATAGACAAAGTTGAGCACTTCCCATAATTTCATTGGTTGTTTATTTAGTCTTAGATGAGGGTCATTGAAGTAATTGGCAATCAGTCATGAATTAATAAAATTTAGTTTTTTTTTCAAGTTACAGATTCTAACTACTATAAGCAGGGTTTGAAATAAATATATATATATGGGCTGCTGTTGGTTATATAGTAAAGAAGGATGCATAT